CTGCTTCGGAAGAAATGAGCCGCGTCGACCAGTGTAAGGCAACGTTGTATTTCCCTGTGTAAGGTTACTGGACCCTCCCCTAAAGAGACTTGCTATTTTAACTTCTTCTTGTAATAGTTCTAAATACTACAATATTGCTGAGATTGCAACAGACAGTCACTATAGCCGGTGGCAGTTCGTCAAGAATCACATCCATCATTTCATAACAAACACGATTATCTAGTAAGCACAGGACCGTCCATCGAGAGAGAATAATATATTAATACATATACTAATAAAGATTCTGTGGAATGCGTTGCCCAAGGAGATCAGAATGGCAACAAGTCGCAATACCTTTAAATTTAAAGTCCGTGAGCATCTACTTAAGCATTGGCAGACTCAAAACAATTGAGGAAACTATTCTGACAACGTTTTCTTTTTTTATATAATATATTGTAGTATTTATGCAGTATAAGTATTTGTTTAGTAGTATATATTATATGGTATGTATATGTCTATTTATAAAATATTGTATTAATATATTTATTCTATAGGTATTTATGTGTGTAGTATACATATTACATAACTTTTTTTTTTGATTGTGTTCTGGCTTCGCATCAACCACTTCATTTCTCTGCACTTCCCTATGGTTGACTGTAAGAGAATGCCTTAAGGCATTAAGTCCGCCATTCACTGTATTTTGTGAAGAAGAAAAAAATTAAATAAAAAATAAAGAAACTAGCTACACTCGTGTGGTTCACCTGATATGCTCGGCTCTTATTGATCGAAGCGCGATGTTTTTAGCCTATAGCCTTCTTCGATAAATAGACTAACCAACACCAAAAGAAGTGTTTAATCCGGCTTAGTAGTTCCTGAGATTAGCGCGTTCAAACAAACAATTAAACTTTTCCGCTTTATAATAATACTAGCTGTGCCCGCGACTTTGTTCGCGTTGAATAGTGATTTACTGCGCTTACCCGAAAATAATAGCGTGATAATATGTAGCCTATATGTTGACCCGACCTGTTAGTAATAATCATACAAAATTTGAAGTAAATCCATGCAGAACTTTTCGAGATCATCCCAGAAATACTTACATACAGACAAACAGACAAAAATTATAAAAACCATATTTAAGATTCCTAAACAAAACATCAAAATTTCGAAACCATCAGCTTATAACTTGCACCACTGTCTCAGTAATCGCTCTGGGCTGATTGATGAACTCCCCCCTCCCACCGCCGAGCGGAGTGGACTCCCCCGCCGTTTAGCTCGGGTGATCCATGGCTACGAGATCTATTACCCAGGCTACATTACCACAATGCCCTGGTAACTTCTCTTTTATTTTACACAATTTCTATCATACTAAATTATACTTTTGTTTCATCTGGAAATTGCTGAACACTTTTCGTCTAAAGGTTTTATTTAGAGGGTATTTGAAAAGGACTGCCTCGTTGGCCGAGTGGTTACAAGTGCGGGTTCGATTCCCGGGTCGGTCAAAATATTACTGTTTTGTTTTAATTCTAAAAAGTAGTAGCACGGAGTTTGGAATTGTGCAATAGCTGCAAAAGGCTCATCCACCCCCTATTACATGGGCCTCATAACATAAATAGTGAAAAGTGGGTGTTACATTGTACAGTGGCATAATGTGCACTTTTGCCCTTCGAGGATAAAAGGCGTGATGTTATGTTATGTGATGTTACTTCATACTCTTTTACATGTTTACTAGCTGACCGGTCAAGGGGTCTCGGGTTCGATTCCCGGGTCGAGCAAAGTATTACTGGGTTTTTAAAAAAATCTCAGTGGTAGCACGGAGTCTGGAATTGTGCCCAGTATATGGCAATAGGCTCACCCCCTATTACATGGGACTCGTAACATAAATAGTGAAAAGTGGGTGTTACATTGTACAGTGGCATAATGTGCACCTCTGCCTACCCCTTCTATGTTATGTTTATGTTGAACAGTGTAATTTTAGTTTTTAGGTATTAAGATTGTTAATCCCTAACATTGCTAAATGGTAGTAGGTATCTTATTCGTCTTAAGCAGTACCGTTTTTATCATAAAAGCACCCGTGCCCAGGGCCCCCACCCTCAGGTTCCCCGAAGGACCGACAATTTCTACGACGGACACAACCTTGGTACATATTGCGTGGTAACCGGCTGACCTGCAACGTGTAGCGGGTTCGATTTCCGCAATGAGCAAATCTTTGTGTGATCCACATGTATAGTTTCGAGTCTGGAGGTCATGTATATGTGAATTGTGTTTATAAATCTACCCCGGTTACCTCGCACACACGTCACACGGGTCCTTTCACGTCGGTTTTCTATGACGCCGTGGAATCACTCCGGTCGAGTCGTCCCATTCGTGCCGAAGTATGGCTCTTCCACACTTAATTGTGTTAATTCTGGAAACCGCTAAAGTTCATTTAGGAGTTGACAAGTCGAAACGTTTAGTCTGCGGTTACCATCGTTTCAGAAATAATGGTTATAGAAATGAAATTAAATTGTATTGTGTAAATATTTACTTATTAATAAAATTATGTCTATCTCGTTCGTCGACTGGTTTAGATAACTATTAGATATGTTGAAGGAATATACCAAGGTAAACATACAATTTTAGTGAGTAAAGGTCTTTGTTGATGAATGATTTTATTTATTGTCACAGAAAATTTTCTCATCTCTATTTCTTTTGAACTTTATTCCATAGTAGTTTAGCACCTAATATTGAAATCGGAGCTATGTGACCTCCAACTGATATTATTCCTTTTAATCCTTTCCAAATTCCTTTATTAAATACTATACAGTATCCTTTATTAAATATATAGACTGCCTCGTTGGCCGAGTGGTTGCAAGTGTGACTGCCGGGCATTCGATTCTCGGGGCAGGCATAGTATTACTGGGTTTTTTATAAATTCTCAGTAGTAGCACGGAGTCTGGAATTGTGCCCGGTATGTGGCAATATGCTCACCCCCTATTACATGGGAGTCATAACGTAAATAGTGAAAAGTGGGTGTTACATTCAACAGTGGCATTAAGTGCCGAAATGTGAACCCTTGCCCACCCCTTCGGGGATAAAAAGGCGTGATGTTATGTTATTTAAAAGCAAACAATTTTGTTTTTTAGATAGAATTTATAAACGTATCTACTTACTAGAATAAATTTTCCTCTGATTTACATTATGTATGTTTCTACGTCTTGTTCTTTGTAGATAATGAAATTGTAAGCAAATATTTAAACATATTGGCAAACATCTTGAAGAGTAAACGTTTCTAATTCTGTTCTACTAAACTGTTTGGTAATAATCATCTATGCCAAAGATCTATAGCAGAAGTTCTGTCCAGCAAACATAGATGGCAATGTAAATTGCCTGTAGTGTTACATAGATGGCGTTAGCATAGCGATTGAAAAGTTTGAAGCGGTATTTATTTTGTTATTAAAGTTTGTGTATTTTTCATCTTACCTAATCGTCATTCATTATCCAAACGGCTGTTTTAATTTGCTCGCGACTAGTTGTGTGGTTCGAAAGGTGCAGTCCATCTAGCCATTTTAGTATGAGAATTAACTGTAAAATAAACAATATGGTTCATTTTCAAACAGACACAAGTCACAAGTCGAAACGTTTAGTCTGCGGTTACCATCGTTTCATAAATAATGGTTTTAGAAATTAATTTGAGTGGTATTATCTAGATATTTACTAATTAATAAAATTATGTGTGTCTCGTTCGTCGACTGGTTTAGATATCACATATCATGGTGAAGGAGCTTACCAAGGTAGTTGTATCTGTTTAAAAATGAACCTATATGTGCATTATTGTTAAGGAATCCACAAGTTCAATTAATAATGAACCAGAAGATTAGACTTAGGCATAACACCATTCGGTACAATTTTCTATCAACCCCAACAAGCAAAATACTACCTCTGCTGCGGCTGCCATCGCTCACCCCTTACCACGCAATGATAAATTAACAATGTTATTAGACTCGACTGTCCACAGCGAAATTAAATTAGAGGAACGCAAGTATTGCCCCACGACCCACGACCCACGACTATTTGCAGTTGACTTATAGAAAATTTGTCATTACAATGACAGTTCACACTTGACTCTTGGCTACACATCGAGAAATACTATTCCAGTATATCTTGGTCCTGCTGTGAATGCCGTTTCTATACAATCAACGGTCAGTTTATACTGGTTTTTATATGTTGATGTGAAGTCGTGTGTAAATACCACAATTTGCGTTTTGCATTAACTAGTGAAGGAATTATTGTTATTTGTAGTTCAGTGTGGTAGGTTTGCTGGTCCTTTCTTTGTGGCTATGCGCTTGCGCAGCATTAATGTACGCTCGCGGTTTGCACTGAACTTGGCATTTTAAGTGTTTCTCGGTAATTCGTTCTGTCACTTACATGTGTAAGATTGAATGGTTTGTTAGTGTTGGCTGTCGATGATGCATCAACAAACGGACAAAATTGAATGTACGTACGAATTCAATGACAATGGCCAGTGACTTCTTATTTATTTTAATAATGTGTGGTTGGTTGTGGAGTGTGGAGAATTACCATCAGGTGGGCCGTGTGTCTTTCTTGCCACCGTCGTGTTATAAAAATAAGAAAGTTTAAGAAATTAAAAGTGTAAATACTAAAAAATAAATTATTTTAGCTTTGAAAACTAATTTGAAGTCTTTATGTAATTTTGTCGTCTTAATTTTATAGGAAATGTATTAATCAATTATCTTCAATGATTATTAGCTAATCGTTGTATATCATCGTCTGTCAATGGCTATCAATAACTAAATTCTTTCAACCGGACCCTTTAACCAATCAACCAAAGAACTAAATGCGTAACGTTGCGATTGCGTTACCATAAAAAAGAACTTGGACTAGGCCTTCTCTATAAAATAGACATACTCACCGAAGCTACTGTACTTTTGATCACCAATTGACGCTAGTGTGAATGTGAACCTCTCGATTTTCTCCAATAGGTTATTAGCTATTGAAGTTTGAAATGAAAATCAAACACTAAATGACGATAAAAATCTTTTATTACAATTTTATATAAACTTTAAATTAAGTAATAATTAATGATAATGCATTCCTCATTTTGTACAAATTAATATAAAAAACCTAATTCGTTCATTTCGAATCGCTATCGCTAGTCGTTATTGGCCAACAACGGCGCTTAAATAAATGCTATTTATGATTCGATCGATTGAACATCGATTCTCATATCGATGTCTCGTTAGATGAAAAAGGGGGGATTATGATTAAGGGGATGTGACGATAGGTACAGTTTGTTCACGGGGCTGTTGCTGGGAGGTGCTGACGGGTTCTGGCTGTTTAGCAGGACCAGTCTTCGTGATAGGGACTATTCTTTCTCCAGCATTGGGTGGGGGTCGTTTTGGAGCTGTGATCGTGAGGACGCCGTCTGAAGACAGTGTGCTGACGAGGTCCTGAACATCGTAGCCTCCTGGCAAGATGTACCGGCGAGTGAATTGACGGGAGATGAAGCCGTGCTCATCCTGTTTCTCCTCGTGTCTGCCTTCAACTACTACGCTGTTGTTCGCTGCCTTCACTGTGATTTCTTCCGGTGTGAATTGTTGGACGTCCAGGATAACCTGGAATAAGATACAAGTGGCGATTAAAACGATTTCTCCTGCTTAATTGTTAAAGATATTTTCTGCTGAGAACCTTAAAACTCGTTCTTACTGATTTAAGTTGTTTTAATTAAATCTTATACTAATATATAAAACGGAAGAATTTGTTTGTTTGCTTGTTTGTTTGAACGAGCTAATCTCCGTAACTACAAGTCTGATTTGAATAATTATTTTTGTGTTGGATAGTGCATTTATCGAGCATGGCTATAGGCTATAAAACATCACGCTATGACCAATAGGAGCTGAGCAGAGCGTGTGAAACTGCGCGGAAGTAGTTAGTGTATTGATAAAAGGAATCTGAATCGGTTGTACTAATGTAGGTACTAATTAATGGTGGTGTGGTGTTAATTTAATAAGTATTTCTGATATTTAACTACTCTCAATAGCAGCGTAAATATCGTTAAATACACGAGTAGTACTCGTAGTCCGACAGGTGTCGTGCGTAACTAACATAATAACGAGACAATTTAAACTGGTCTAACTCGCTTTATTGACTGTGCCAAATTTAATCTGCACTAAAAGGTGATGCAGACAGAGCACATTACAATTGAATAAGGTTCAGATAGACAATTCGTTTATGTTTTAAAAGAAACTAAAATAAATTAGACTGCCTCGTTGGCCGAGTGGTCTTAAGTGCGACTGCCGGGCAAGGGGTCTCGGGTTCGATTCCCGGGTCGGGCAAAGTATTACTGGGTTTTTAAATATTTTCAGTAGTAGCACGGAGTCTGGAATTGTGCCCGGTATATGGCAATAGGCTCACCCCCTATTACATGGGACTCATAACATAAATAGTGAAAAGTGGGTGTTACATTGTACAGTGGTATAATGTGCACCTCTGCCTACCCCTTCGGGGATAAAAGGCGTGATGTTATGTTATGTAAAATAATGTTTAACCTAACATCATTATTATCATTACTTAAGCTAGGGAACACCCTTTGCTGGGTTTGGCCCCCTTTTATTGCCATATTGTATTGTTTAAAGATCGCAAGCATCTATTTACTGAAGTGGCTTGATTTTTCATAAAATTGCCAATAGCGAATCTTTTAGGACCAACCTCAAAGTTTTTACCAATTTCAAAAAAGGAGGAAGTGCTATTTTCATATGGCAACGATAGAATCTTACTACTAATTGATTTTGTTATGTAATTAAGTATTGTCATTCACCTCAAATTTCTCCTTCGTCAGGTTAATAGTTGAGGCAGACTCCTGTCGTGTCAGGCTCGTTCTCCAGGGTCTGAAGTAGGAGTTCCTGAACAAGGAGGAGGAGGGCAATGTAGAGAGGGAAGATAGGAGCTCGTCCCTCTTAAGCCCCATGCCGAAGTGCTGGTCCAACAGGCGGGAGGGCCTGTCCCACTCGTCCCACCAGTCACGGAACATCAGGGGTACTATCGACATCTGTGGAAGGTGGTAGAAGTTGGTTATATTATGGAAATAGTCTATTATCTAATTGATATGATGAACTGCCTTCCTATGACATGATTTGATTTGAGCCTAAACAGATATTCAGGTACCTACTGTATACATATATATGTATATAACTTTCCTAAATTGAGATATCAAAATAACTAACAATAGCGTTCGTATAAAAAATATAGTTAGATTTTTTTTAATAATTTCTTTGATCCTATTGATGTCAACTGTAACAAATTTTGTACCTAAGTGACGAAGTAGATAATAAACATAGTAGTACCTACATAGAAAATATGTAGGTGGTATGTACATAATTCATTCGCTAACAGCACAAACAATATAAAGTTTGTAACATAACATAAATCAGTCATCTAGCAACAACATAATTTAAACTCTTCGTTTAAATTTATCTGACTCCCGTCCCTGAAAATTTTCCATCAAATCTTTCCAAAACGATGTCATAAACCCCTTCGTATCTGTGCTATCATCTTACCACGATGCCAAGTCGTAAACAACAATCAAATCGGCCATGATAAGTTGTCGATTCCCTCCAAAAAGATCGTAAAACCGTTGGCGGGAAAAAATCAACATCATTGTCTATGCTCGTCTATTTGCCGCGAAAATAAATGGCGCATATTTTCATTGCACGTTTATTTTTGTTGGTTACATATTTTATGCGCTTGTAATGACCGACCAATGTTATTCAATGCACATTACTGTTATGTAAATAGATAGGAATTTTATTTTTAACGTATTTTGTTTATAAGAATAGAGTTGCTATCATTCTAAGGTCAGCGGTAATGCAGGGTCTAATGCAAAAAATATACGAATTGAATTCAAAGTTTCCCAATAGCTTATTAAAATTGAAATTTATAACGCAATTATTATTTCATGTAACAAGTTAATCCCACAAATACAAAAATACTAAAACAATCACAAAATATATTGATAGACATGTGCAACCAAACAAAATTGCGCAGTAAATAGTTATTTTATTGCTAAAACGAGAACTTTGTTGAAGTTTACCGAATTTGTTTACATTTAGAGGCAATAATACGTGCACATAATAATCAACGAAATTCTGGAACGATTCCACGGTGTATGAGTCACCTGGGATCGGTTTTAGAAGTGATGCAACTCGAACTGAATTTCTTCACGCTATGAAAGTTATGCGACATGCTAGTTTTGTAATACGATAAAATTAGATCGAATGTTGATGTAAACAATGTGGTGTGAGATAACTTTGGAATGTTTGGCTGTTTGAGTGCTGCGAAAGTATTTTTGTTTTTAGATAGATACAGCTACACCTGAATGTGGAGATGCAATAATAAAAAAGCAAAATTACTTAGTTATACAATTTCCTTGATCCCTTCAGAACACCTTTAAATAAATAAGGAAAGTATTTCAATATTTTTTTCTTCAAAATAATCTGATGATATCTTTATAGATAGCAATTTTAACACGTCATCTGAAAGTCCCAAAACTACGTGCTCACGTGAACGCACTTGTCTAAACATATCGCTACTTTTAAACACTGCGTACCTAGTAAGCAAATAAAAAACGAAAACAATTCGCAAGGAGGTAAGGTAAGTATAAGGCAACGAATGAAACTACCAAAATGAAGAAAAGAAATACCTAAGATCCATATTTGTCATGTCGCAAAAAAAATACAAAATGCACAAAAAAAAATGGAGGGAAAAGAGTAAACCTTTAGTCACGAAAAAGAAAACTTAAGAACTGCGACACCTAACATATACAGCCACGACACAACAGATAATCACTAAACGCGAAATAACAAAAAAAAAAACAAAACAATTCACCTTTGTGGTTGTTAGTTCGTTGCAGGCGCGCGCCGCTCTGGACTCGAGACTAGAAACCAACGGCTTGTAATGGGATTTAAATAGAACTTTCAGCGGCCCACACGTACTGATTCATGAGGATACACCTTGAACTTGAAGCGGTGCGTACAGTATCATTCAGTGCCGTAATACGGACTGAATGAGATATTACCGTTTATGGTCCATGCAGTTTTCCCTCGGAAACGGGATATACCTGAGACGGTAGCTACTCTAGCTACGATTCTTGAGAAAGTTTTTAGAGCAACATTTTCTAAAAATGACTATTTCAAATATTTTTTATGGCATTATGGTAAACGAGCAGACGGATCCCCTAATGCTAAGCAATCGGCGTCGCTCATGGACACCTGGAACACCAGTGGCGTAACAAGTGCGTTACCAGCCTTTTGGGGATTGGGAGTTTGAGGATCGTTGGGGATTCAGGGATTAGGAAGATTGGGAAGAAGAGAGGAGTAATTGGGCCTCCGGTAACCTCACTTACACGACGAAACAACGCAAGCGTTGCTTCACGTCGGTTTTCTATGAGGCCGTGGTATCACTCCGGTCGAGCCGGCCCATTCGTGCCGAAGCATGGCTCTCCCACACTAAAAATTATGTTTCAGTCTGCTCATACATCTAATTCCTTTTTTCAATAAAGCAAAATAATCTGTCAGACTTGTTAGAAATAACAAATTCACTTACATGGAGCACACAATGATATGTATCCCTGTAACTGGAATTTCTATTCCTAAAGTTGATAGACTTTTTTTAAACTAATATATTTTTGACTAATAAGATGATGATGATGATGAATTTGTTTAAATTGACAGTGCTGTAGGTATGTATGTACCTACTAGATTATTCAACACTTAATACTGAAATGTGTTTCCCAACTAGACTGTACAATATGTGCAACTGCAACTACTAGAAGACATGAACTGACTTAGGTACAAAAAATACAGCAAAATTGAGTATAGAGTTAGTTAATAAGTGACAGATTAAAAATCACTACATACAAGATTCATCGAACAATTCGCTATGCATATTTGCGTTCCCAATTTCTAAACTGAACTATACAAAATTTCATGGTCACCACAAATGGATGATAAATCAAAAAAAGTTTCAGAATTTACTCATTGAAAACTGTAGGAGTCATTCGAGAACAAATCTAAAAATCTCTCCCGTAAACGTAGGTAGCTTCGACAGAGTTCGAGATTACGCCCTCAATTTACGTATCAACATGAGTGAGAGTATTGTCATCCACTCATCACACAAACTTTCGACGTCACAGAATGACGAAAATAAATGCTATATTTATCCGGTCACAATTTTGTCTCAATACAAAAGTTTGTGATGATTGTAGACGATATTTTTAGACGTGAAGATAACTCCGGCCAACGCTTTCTGAATACTTGCGGCGTAAATACACCGTTAATCATTGTCTTTTGATGTCATATTTTTCTATTTTAGACTTATCAAATAAATTTATAGTATAAATAAAAGTGAATACTTGAGAATGGCTGCAACGATTTTGCGTGATTTTGGTCTTGAAATGTGGAAGCCCAGGGAAGGTTTAAAAGGTAAAAATAAATTAGGCCGGTACGAAGTCTGCCGGGTCAGCTAGTAAACATGTAAAAGAGTATGAAGTAACATCATATAACATAACATCACGCCTTTTATCCTCGAAGGGCAAAGGTGCACATTATGCCACTGTACAATGTAACACCCACTTTTCACTATTTATGTTATAAGGCCCATGTAATAGGGGGTGGATGAGCCTATTGCTGCTATTGCACAATTCCAAACTCCGTGCTACTACTTTTTTAGAATTAAAAAAAAAACAGTAATACTTTGACCGACCCGGAAATCGAACCCGCACTTGTGACCACTCGGCCAATGAGGCAGTGTATGAAGTAATGCATCATTATTGTCATCAAAACATCAAAAGCCCTTGACGGTCCTGTATAAGACCATGACTCTCCTCTGCATAAAAAGGTTTGCGGGCATTACCTTCAGGCATCATCTTGGCAAACGAGTTGAATATGGAAATGCAACAGGATCTACTAATTAGGCACGCCCAGCACGTGTCGTGTCTACATGAGAGCATGTCTTCACGAACGTGCACCGGCTTATTTTAATTTAATAAGTGTACTAGATCGAAGCCTGCGTTTTACTATAACCACTTCACGTAAACAAATAGAGTAAAAGTTGCGTAGGTACTTAATTTTATTACGAGTATATAGGGGCACCCCCAGTCAGCTCATGACAATAAATGCTCATCTCTTCTTACACGTTAGTCCTAATATAATGTAACTGGTGAAAAGTGGGTGTTGCACTGTTTAATTGCACCTCTGCCTTGCCTAGTGCCTATTAACCACAGAAACTACAATATCTTCAGGGTACAGTCTACAGCCTCTTTGGCCGAGAAAATATTGCCAAATATTCGGACCCACAGTATTATTTGTGAATCACACAAAGAGTTGCTCTATTCTAGAATCGAACTCGCTAGACGTTCCGTAGCTGCCGGTTGTCCAGCTCACCGTGCCAACCGTGCAGTTACATATGTATTGATGTACACACATACAGAAAATAAAAATATTAAAATATTTTATTTGTGAAAAAGTTCTAAAAGACTTGAATCCAAGATATAGATAATGAACGAAAAATTCTAACGTCACTGTCACATCTGTCATTGTAGTCATAGAGATGTCAATGATCGTAGTTTACACGTCAAACGAATGTGACTGATTGGCCAGTGATGTACATTGTCTTCAATGTAATTGAAACGTTGTATTACATTAATGCAAATCGAGTAATAATATTCGCAGCGTAAATGTAATTTATACCAGAACAATATCTTTTCAGTGAACCTTTTGTGTTGTATACAATACTTTCGTTGTATATTATAACATTGTAAATCGAAGTGTAAATAACACTAATGATATGAATCAAATGCCAACTGCCAATGCCAATCCATAGAAGTATAATCAACATCGATATCACATTTACATGTCACAACACTATACCGGTTTGGATTGGAGAGTGAGAGAGAGGTTAATTTATTTTTCAGTCTCTAACTTTTGTTTATTTATCTTCGAATTAAACTAATTCTTTCTTAAAGTTTTTATCTACCTACTCTTTGACTGTCGTATACAATAGTTTATTATAATTAATATTAAAAAAGTGAAGAATGATATAGTGTTATTGATAAAGCTATATTATCGTATCTACTGTCATCATAAAATAGTGACGGTTTTTGATAATAGGTATACAGGCAGATACACGTCGCGATGTACCTATTGAATGAAATAAATCTTATCCGCATTGCACAATGTGGTTTCCTATAGTCTACTACTTGAGTTACTAAGTATGATATGAAACATTGAAGAAGCGAAAGCGTGTATGTGTTGCGTAAAGTCAAGTGCCGGTAACTCAAGACTAGTTGTTCAGAGTGGTTAGAACGCGGCTAAGGTCGATCATCATGCTGCCGTGGATACAGCACCGATGGACCGGCCTCTGCCTCCTTGTGGCTGCATTAGGAAGTCTAATGCTGTTCCTGTATGGATTCTTCCCATTGAAGTATCATTCAGGAAGGATGTCACATATGGATGATTTGCCAAACTTCATAGAAGGCGTCAGGTTAGTTTAAATAGTATATTTTCACTGCAATACCCTTGTGAGAATAAATGTCCAATAGAAAAACATTCCAAATTTGAATCTTACAGCATCGATGGCCAGCAAGTTTATAGTTCTGGTGAGAACAGTGTTGTCCTGATGGTGATAGATGGCCTTCGTTATGACTTTGTAACAGAAGAGTACATGCCTTACACCGGACAACTGCTCAAGAACAAATCTGCTTGCATCTATGTGTCAGTGGCTGAACCACCTACTGTCACAATGCCTAGGATCAAGGTAAGTCTAACAAGAAAAAAAGTATTAGATTTAAAAAAAGAATAATCCTCTTCCCATTCACAATACCAAAGAAAAAGATTGTTATTTATGGTAAAAGTTTAATTTTAGAACTATTTTTATTGTTGTGTACAGTCACCTGAGCGTAAGAAGGAAAAGGCACAGTGGAGGCGCACAATAAACTTCTGGCGGGATATATTTGCAAGTGTCACATTTACATAATTATTAAAACTAGTTGTTTCTTATTTATTCAGCTTGGCTGTATGTTCATAGAGACAAAGAAAAAACAAACAAAAAAGTATTTCTTCAAATTTTTATGTAATTTAATTCCTTAAAGAAATGATAAATGTTTTTTCTTTGGTCTTGTGTCTGTTGCTTTTCTTGGTTTGCGTGCATGCTATTTAGTTCTTAATCAAGCTTTGTATATTCCTTAATGTTACACATCACGTAATAGTAATACATAGCATATTTCCTAGTACAATTTACAAGCATATTAAGAAATAAACTAATAGTAAATATTAAACAATGTAAGATATAAAGAACAAAACAAGTAATGAAATCATAAAAATTTATACTTTCTCTCAGGGCAACAATGTTAGCCATATTAGTTTCGGTACAAAGTACAGCGTAGTTACTTGCATGTTTATATTTAGCTAGCATGCCTAGCATTCAAGAGCACATAGCATGAAGATATGCATTCACTATTATAACAATAGTTTCATAACTATACTTCAATGTTATTACAAACTTATACAATTTTATAGCAACATTTTCATTGTATGTAAACTAAAATAAGGAAGCTAAAGAAGTGTATAAGCAATGTATGGATAATGATTATAGTTTCTATTTATTAAAATGTATTAGAACATATTACTAAACTTATAAAAATGAAACGACTCCATACTAAATTGCTTGGGACTGCATAACCTAAGTGCAAGACTTGCAGATAATGTGGACGATAGGAGCTAAAGATTCGCCATGATGATTACTTGGTCGGTCACTTAAAAGCGTTAAAGCGTTATTGAAAAACAAACACAATAGGACGAAAGCATAGAGCAAAGATATAATGTGTTGTCCTTTGTAATATTGTCTGTGTGGTGTAGGTACATGAAATGATAAATAAATAAATAAAGCATACAGAATCGACAATTTAGTATATCTTGATATGTGCCAGACCCACCTCATTGAATTGACCTATGTAATTTGTCGTTATTGCCCAATTAATTACAAGTTACTAGTATTACGTCGGTTCCACAGTTCCTGCGGTTTCGAGTCATTGATTGTGTTGTAAGTACTGGCTCAGTCATGCATATCACCTTTAGGAAGAATTTGCATTAATTTGATATCTGTCGCACTTTCCCTTCCTTGTACAGATACAACTAATCGTAACACACGCCCTTTTTTATTCCCCATATTTATTTAATGTAACACCCACATTTCGCCATTTAAGTCGTGAGTCTGGGTATGTCCATATATGCTAGACTACTGAGAAATTCCAAAAAAAATATCAGCACAGATATGTAATGGTGCGTCTTCATCTGGCGACTGCGCTCGCGAGGTGGTCGCGTGCATTTTTTACAAACACACGCAGTCCATGCGCATATCGTGTTATGCTCAATCCAGGGTGCTTACTCTGGAATCTCAATGTCAATGAAATTTCAATCCAATATAATTTCAATAATTATTCAATGTCAAAAGTATACAACCACAATCGTAGCTGTTAAAATAGCATCCAGAGTACGGAATATAAAGAAAAACTCAATACCATTTAGTTCATTCTATATCCACGCAATAGGGATGCAATGGGCTCTAGTGTTGAAACTCAAGGGTACGAAATTTGTCGCGGAGAACCTAACGGTTTACCGGGGCTGTGGCTCGACGTGCAGGAGAAGGAACGGGGTGGTTTTTAGTCAGTAAGAGTATGACACTCCTTCCCGCCTCACCCAGGCGGGAGAAGTCATTCGATGATTTTCCACCCTTAAAAAAAAGGGTACGAAAATTTACAATATCAATGTCGATCGATTGGAATTGGATTCAAGAGTAGCCACCCTGATCTATGTAGATGCAATACAATGTCAGTAGCGGCGTTAGGGTTAGGGTATGGTATGTTGAGGTTGGGCTAAAACCGCCACTGCACAATATAGTCCAAAATTGCTGAAACTTCTCTCCCTTTCTCTTAATTGTGAACTGGTGACGTTATATGTGAAAAGTACTCTTATGTCTTGCATTTGCACTTCCGCTTTAGATATGCCATGGTATGATAGGTTGATAGCTATTGTTTTTTATTAATTTGCTTTAATGGGTGTTTGTTTCGTATAGCTGGTGTGTAACGTTAGAAAGGTAGTTAGAAGGTATGGTCACGGTTAAAGGGTCAATGCACTCGTAATGTACAAGTATTTTTAATAATAATCAGTATTCAGTGGAACTGTGAAAGTCAGTTCCACTGCAAAAAGGTATTGTATATTACTTAGGTACTCGTCGTGTACAATTAATTTCTAAGAATAAAACATAGCTACTATCATCTTATCTAATCATGACGGTTGACTGGACGGTTGACTGCACGGTTGCCGCGGTGGGTAGGAAACGGGCTGCCGCGCAACGGGCGGCGAGTTCCAATCCCGTTCCCGCACGGAGCAACTCTTTGTGTGATCCACAAATTGTTGTTTCGAGTTTGGGTGTCATGTATATGTTTGTAAACACGCCCACGACACGACAAAATCCTAGAGATTTTAAAGGTTTTCTAAAACATTACCCCAAAGATTTAAAAAAACTTTAAAAAATAATACCTACCTATTGCTTTTAATAATTAGGTAATTCCATACATACATAGTTAACTAGTTATCTAACCATATCATCATCATTGCTTTATACCTTGAACCTATTTTAAGCTTATTTTCATTACAATACTCTTTATGTCAATCATACACCCTATACCTTGGCCAAGATTGATAGTAAATATTTGTAAACAAATCACAAAGACTAAATATCTAGCCATAACAAATATCTATTTTCTGTGCTTCATCTCCTATTCTGCTATCGCTGAGAAATGTCACTAGGTATAAAGAGATAGAGGGTGGCAATTAACAAAAAGTTTTCTACCTTTTACAATTTGTTTCCAAAATACTTCACAGTGCTCTTGACTAAGGTGTAGGTAATAATAATTATCATTTTAATAAATCTCTGTATTCTATTCCTCAGGCCATGATGACAGGCAGTGTCTCCACATTTGCTGATGTAGCATTAAACTTCGGTGCTCCAGCTGTTCGTGGAGATAGCGTGTTGCGTGTTGCTAACGCTAGAGGGCGCCGTACTGTAATGTATGGAGATGATACCTGGCTGAGATTGTTCCCTGGATTGTGGTCAGAATACGATGGAACTACTTCTTTCTACGTCACAGATTATACGGAGGTAAATCTTCTGCATTATTATCAACAGCCGAAAGACGTCCTCTGCTGGACAAAAGCCTCCCCCTTAGTCCTCCACGTCGAACGACAACTCGCCACCTGCATCCACTCTGACGCTGTCGTCGGTCTAACAGGACACCTTCTCACGCTTCATCTTCCGGTCCGTGGTCCCCACTCGAGGACTTTCCTGGCCCATCTGCCGTTAGTCCGTCGAGCGACACGACATTGCCACTTTAGTCTGTAGATTTTGCCAGCTATGTCGGTAACTCTAGTTCTTTAGCGAATTTACATATTTCGGATTTTGGTAAATCTTAAAGTATATGAACTGAAATGACTTTACGGTACTAGTTATACCAGTTCTATGCTAGGAGCAAGCACAATTCTGCACTCTATTTGTACTGAGAGTTTCCAAAGCCAAAATCAAGATGATGAATCTGTTTTGCTTGACCTAAGGTTGGTAGATGGTTGAGCACAATTCAAAACTACAAACTCCGTACTACAGAGAATTTTCGATTTTGTCTACAATGTAGTCTAAACTGAAACCCCTTGTTAATCCAATCGGTCGACGATGCAGTTTGAGATTAAGATTAGCATGATGGAGGACTTACGATGACTTTTTATACACCATGGATAAAACAAGATGAGCGCAGTGGAATTCTTTGCTAGAGTCTGTATTTCCTAAATATAACCTGGGTGTTAACAAGGCCCGAGTGAATAGGTTGCTTTTGGGACGACGTGCTCCATCGTAGACCACATCAACGCTTACCACCAGGCTAGATAGTGGTCAAACGTCGGCCCATCAAATATAAAAAAAAGTTTTTTTTTATTTCAGGTGGACAATAACGTCACAAGACATCTAGACAAAGTGCTGACACCAGATGAGAAAAAGAAACCTACATTTGACTTCCTAGTGCTTCACTATTTGGGTCTAGATCATATAGGACATCTAGAAGGCGCTAGGAGCCCTAAGATCAAACCGAAGCTGCAAGAGATGGATGAAGTGGTGAAAAAAATATTTACTGCTATGCAAACGTGGGTAAGTGGGGTCATTTAATAATAATATACTGGTCGCCCATGGACACCTGGAACACTAGAGGCATTACAAGTGCGTTACTGGCCTTTTGGGATTAGGAATTTGAGGATTGTTGGGAACTTAGGGATTGGGAAAGGGAGGAGGGGTAATTGGCAACGAAAGAACGCATACGTTGTTTCACGTCGGTCTTTTATGAGGCCGTGGTATCGGCCGGTCGACACGCCCCATTCGTGCCGAAGTATGGCTCTCCCACACTTGACTTTGACAAACACATTTCTATCTCTTTTGTCCCACAGTCACTTAAATCACTCAGTAGAATGCACAAAATTACATAGCTTTTAGCAGAGAAGGTTGACAGAAGGTAAAATATGTATTGTCATAAATATTTTTCGTTTACAGGACCGTAACGGCGTGCTAATAGTATGCGGCGACCACGGTATGCGTGACGCGGGCGGACACGGCGGCGCCACGCCCAGCGAGGTGCTCGTACCTTTAGTACTCGCCAGGAGTTCAGATTTCGAGTGTCCACATCCGTATGTATATTGTTGGCATTATTTTCGTATAAAGATATTTTTATCTTTATATCACAAAGGTAAGTATTTTATAATCTAATGCCCGAATACTGAAACGTTACTCAATTTTAAGTCACGCTTAAATATAGTTCTGTCTCCACTAATTCTTTGTGAAATAACAAAGATGGCACGATATTTAAGCACGAATTAAAATTGAGTAACGTTTCAGTATTCCGGCATAAGCCCCACAAAACCGTTGCAATGGTTAACCGTTGGTGGTGTTAACTATATCTGTATTATTTTTTTTTTATGGCATAAGCCGGTAAATGAGCAGACGGATCACCTGATGGTAAGCAATCGGCGTCGCCCATGGACACCTGGAACACCAGAGGCGTTACAAGTGCGTTACCGGCCTTTTGAGGATTAGGAGTTTGAAGATCGTTGGGGATTCAATGTATGAGAAGTGCGAAGGGTATGTAAGAATAGGTTAGATGCCTAATTTTTATTTTAGTGTCAGTCTCGTAGATTATTTTAAATCATTAGATACGTTTTTTTAATTTCTTACAGAAACGAATACTTTCGACGATATATTGATTTGAAACTATATATTATAATATACTAGCGACCCGCCCCGGCTTCGCACGGGTGCAATATGTATATACATACAAACCTTCCTTAAGAATCACTCTATCTATTAAAAAAAACCGCATCAAAATCCGTTGCGTAGTTTTAAAGATCTAAGCATACATACGGACATACAGCGAAAGCGACTTTGTTTTATACTATGTATTGATTTGTAAACGCACCCACGACACAGGAGATAATCCTAGTGTGGGGCAAAAAAAAAAATGTCGCGTGACGTCACTTCTATGTACATTTTATACACAGAAATTATGTTTTTAGCCCCCACGCCTAAACTTTGATTTGTTTTATCCAAGCATTGTTTTCTTATACGACAAAATAAAAAAATACGTGTCTAATATTTTTTCATTATCTAACTTATGGACTAATTAGATTTTTAATTTTCATACCCTGTCATCATCCCAATTATAGGAATTGGCGTTCCATAGTCTCTGCCTACCCCTATGGAAGACAGGTGTGGGTTTATGTATGTGTTTTTCGTATGTAATGTTTGCATAGTATGATTTGTTCTTGTATGAGATCTCTAACGACCAGTCTATCTGTTAGAGCTTTAATTAGTTTAATTTTGATTTTTGATTGAATTGAGGTAATACAAAATGTTAACTATATCTGTATTATTTTTTTTTTATGGCATAAGCCGGTAAATGAGCAGACGGATCACCTGATGGTAAGCAATCGGCGTCGCCCATGGACACCTGGAACACCAGAGGCGTTACAAGTGCGTTACCGGCCTTTTGAGGATTAGGAGTTTGAAGATCGTTGGGGATTCAGGAATTGCGGAGATTAGGGATTGATATTATAACATATCGTCTCCTCTACAGACAAGGTCCAGGCCCAACAGTGGCACAAGTGGACGTAGCGCCGTCTGTAGCGTGGTTACTGGGCGCTCCGCCCCCCGGGGACAGCGGAGGCCGACTCCTTCCAGCTCTACTCCCGCAGGACCCGCGCCAACATTTATACTTACTGCATGTGCTCACCAGCCACGCTGTGAAGCAGGATATGCCTACTAATACTGGTATGTTTATTTATAATTCGGATGTTGTAGCAAAAACGTTTTTGTTGGTGGTAGATGGCGCTTGTGTAGATCTAAGTGTTGTATGACTAAATGTAGTAATAATAAAAAAAAATCAAATTCAAAAATTTCGTCAAGTAAATACATGGGGCGTAAGTAATGGGAAGTAAGATTTCTTTAGACGAAGGTGTAAGCATTTTCGTAGCGGACACAACAGTAACTCACTAATTTACAAACTAGATGGGTATCAAAACTATATTTTCACTCTATTTTACAACAAATTAGTTTGTGTAATTTTAGCTAAATAATAATCACCATAACTGACAAACTCCTTAATCCCCAGAGTTCTACAAGCAGTTCCAACGCGCTGAGCAACAGTTCGCCCACTACCTCGCTACAGGACAACAGAGTGCCGCCAAGATTGCCAAAGAGTTCTACGAGGAATCACTTGCTAAGATGTCCGAGTATCTTACTCAGACTAAAACTGAGTTCGATCTGTTTGCTATCGGCATCGCTATTTTCTTGTTGTATGCGGTGAGTTAGATTCATTTTTTTTATTAAAACAGACATCTAGTTAGTATTACATAACATAACATAACATCACCTCCTTTATCCCCGAAGAGGTAGGCAGATGTGCACATTATACACTGTATGATGTAACACCCACTTTTCACTATTTATGTTATGAGTCCCATGTTATAGAGGGTGAGCCTATTGCCATATACCGGGCACATTTCCAGACTCCGTGTTACTACTAAAAACCCAGTAATACTTTGCCTGACCCGGGAATCGAACCCGAGACTCCTTGCCCGGCCAGTCGCACTTGCGACCACTCGGCCAACGAGGTAGTCAATATTACATAATTTATATATATCACGAAGCTAAGTATCTTATAATCTAAGCCCCACAAAACTATTTGCCTTGCATTTGTTTGTATTTATGGATCACAAAATCTAACAAAAAATGTAGCTTGGTTCTATTTGCTATAGTAACCTGGTGACTGCACTTGAAATTGTAAAAACTATTTTGTTGTCTGACCCTGTACATGTCTCTATCGCTTAGAAAAATACAGTATTACACACATAATATTACACTCTTTCAGATCGCAACATCGCTCCTCCTAGTCACACTATACTCGCTCCAACCAGACACGCGACGCAAGACAAGCATCACAGGTCGCTCCCACCAGCGCTCCAGCATCGGCTCCATCATCGCGTTCCTCGTCATCTTCTGCATATGCAGTGCAATCCTCGTCACATCATGTTTCATAACAGAAACCAAAAGCCAACTATGCAATTTCGAATCATTCTGGGCACTCGGACTTTTAGCAACAGCCTGTATGTTCACCATCACTTATTTCATAATTAAAACAGGAATTGAAAGGATTAAAGATCTGTCGTTACTCAATGAATTGAATGCTATCGATATGTTGTTGATAGTAGCGACTTTATTTCATTGCTGGTCATTTTTTGGAACAAGTTTCATTGAAGAAGAGCATATGACGTGGTACTTCTTCTGGAATACTTTAATGTTCTTTGTATTGGTGAGAACTGTTGTTATTTTGCTCATGTATTTGAGTAAGAAGCTGACTGGAGCGACAGAGGTGCAAGAGAAGCCGGAGTTGGAACAACGGATGAGCGCTGTCGGTGTTGGGATACTGCCTAAATGGGTGCTGCTGATTGCTTTGCATAGGTGGGTTGTTTTGATGACTTTTTGTTTGACTTGTAAGATCATTATTTTATGTTTATACTAGCGGACCCAACAGACGTTATCCTGCATATCCACTTGAATGTATAAACAAAAATTCATTCAAATTAGTTCAGCTGTTTAGGATAAATATCGACTGCAGCGCCATCTGCCAGGCTGATTTGTTTGTGAAACCATTCCCAGATCCCCTTGAACACACACAAAAAATTTCATCGAAATCGGTCCAGTCGTTTGAGAGAAGTTCAGTGACATACACACTCACAGAAGAATTATATATAATAATATAAAGATAACAACTATCGTGAGACATAGTAAATTAACTAAAAATTGCGAGTTACTCACGTGAATTTACTGAGACAAGCTCGACTAGTTTCGAGCCACAGAGGGACTTCCTCATGAACAGCGTGCGCAGTCGTTGCGATATCGCTTGACGTGTCAAAACTAGTAGAGCTTTTCTCAGTATATTCATGTAAGGAACCTGCAATTTTTAAATAATCATTATTTTAAAAATTAATTCTTTGATCTGAAGAGATGATATAGTGATGTAAATGGTCAATCGACAACTAGCTATATAGTTTCCCTGCCAAGAAGATCACGGGTTTACTGTAAAAAAACTGGTTATTCTTTGCCGATCAGTGAATTACCGAACAAGTTTTCGTTTACCTACCATACCACAGCCCGTCTAAAGTCCAAAGATCATATAATCCAATATTTTTGGCACAACAATTGATGTCTACAATACACAAATGTATTTAATTTCCAGATACCTAAGAACAATGAACCAGACTGGAGACAGATGGTTGTTCCTGCCGGACACAGCAGACTGGCTGAATGCTCCTGAAAACGCATTCTATTTGCAAGCTCATCTTGTTGTAGGTGAGTTGGTTTACAAGTTTTATACATACATAATATCACGCCTTTTATCCCAGAAGGGTTAATGTCACTGTACAATGTAACACCCACTTTTCACTATTTATGTTATGAGTCCCATGTAATAGGAGGTGAGCCTATAGCCATATACCGGGCACATATCCAGGCTCCGTGCTGCTTCTGAGATTTTTTTTAAACCAATTTCATATAATAAGTTATCATAATTTCAAATACATGCGTGCACCTTTAAAACGACTGAATAATTTTTATTGCCCGAAAGGGTAAACAGAGCTTCAGCCTTAGTACGAGTATATTTCACGTTAAAAGTAATCGAAACGAGACCGCGTTTGGCGCTCTGATTGGTTGGTACATTGGAGCTAATTATCCTATGTTCGTCTCCTGGTTCTAATCACCTCCCCATCAATTTTCATCCAAATCGATTTAGCCGTTCTTGAGTTATAAATAGTGTAGCTAACACGATTTTCTTTTATATGGTAATAGATATATAGATGTGAAAGTTTGTGAGGATGTGTGTGTTTGTTACTCTTTGTCTGGAAACACATAGGCCACTTTTTATTTCACGAGAACGTGGGCGAAGCCGCTGGCAGAAGCTAGTCTATATATATGTGAAAGAAAGTCGTGTTAGTAACACTATTTATAACTCAAGAACGCCTCAATCGATTTAGATGAAAATTGGCAGGGAGGTAGCTTAGAACCAGGAGACGGACATAGGATACTTTTTATAGAATACTTTTTTTTTACTTTTTACCGAAAATCACGAACAGGAACGGGGGGAAAATGGGATTGCGCGTACGAAGTCGCGGGCAGAAGCTAGTTAATAATAATTAAATATCTGATCAAAGTTTTTTTCTAATTTCCAGGCACAATCGGAACACTAGTAATATGTCTATGGAACCTTCGTTTCCTAAACAACGTGAAGCACTTCCAGTCAATGCTAACCACCGCGGCAGTGGTCTGCATACTATGCTACAGGATCGCTTCCAACGCCTTAGAGTCACCATTCGACGATATAAAGACTTGGGACCCGGTCAAGATAGTAGACGTCTTCTGGGCCATACTCATAGCACAGTTCCTTCTAGAAATAGTATCCTACATAGGTATCCTAAGGTCCTGTGGCTTACAACCGACTAGAAATAATCAAAGTGCAAATAAATTCGAGTACAGCAAGCCTAAGGCGAAATCTGAAGATTATTTCTACGATAACTTGATGGAGGAACCTTGGAATGTCGAAGAAGTGAAGTTGAACTTAGTTCGGAGTCTTTCTCATCTTATGTTAAACGATTTAATGTTGATAGTGTGTTTATTAATGCGACCCCATAACGTGGTGATGGTGCCCAGTATATTTGTGACGTGTGTGCTGACCTCGCAGTGCATGGACCATAAACTGCTGGACTCCAAGTCCGGGAAAAAGACTGAAGTGGCTGATATACTCAGTCGGACGCTTGTACATATGTGGATTGGTATCCTGTTCTTCTTTTATCAGGTGTGTTTTTATTTTATTTGGTAATTTTTTTTTATGGCATGTGCCGGTAAACGTGCAGATGCCCATGGACATCTGGAACACCAAAGGCGTTACATATGCGTTACCAGCCTTTTGGGGATTAGAAGTTTAAGGATCGTTGGGGATTCGGGGATTGGGGAAGGGGAGGGTAATTGGGCCTCCGGTAACCTCACTCACACGACGAAACACAACGCAAACGTTGTTTCACGTCGGTTTTCTGTGAGGCCGTGGTATCACTCCGGTCGAGCCGGCCCATTCGTGCCGAAGCATGGCTCTCCCACACTTGAATAGATATAGATAAGTAACTAATTTTAAAAATAGTCTTCAAAATATTGACGATATCCATAAGGTGGCTGGTAATTGGTAGTGGTTGGATGCGTAGAACTGAAGATCGAGCTCAGTGGCGTTGCCTGCCATTGGAGAGGCTTATGGTCCTTAAGGTCCAGCAGTAGACGAGAACATAGAGTTGATGGTCACTCATTAAAAATTTATTCAGTACCGAGACATTATCATACCTGGCGACTGAGCCAAATATAATCGTAAAAAATATAATATTTTCCTAAATCAGTTTTGCTGTTGTTAAAAAAAGGTTCGTAATTGACATATTCAACTAATTCGGCCCTGAAAAAAGACATAGGAAAACACACTAGGAGATTCATAAATTTTCCCTCACACAATGAATCATATTTTCTATTTCCCCAGGGTAACTCAAACAGCCTGTCCTCAGTAGACCTGGGCTCAGGCTACGTGGGGCTCCGTGAGTACTGTCCTGTGCGAGTGGCGCTCCGCATGGGACTCCACGCGTACGCCGGCCCTGCTATAGCGGGCGCCGCGCTATTCGCCACCATCGCTAGACATTCTGATACTTGGGACACGTGAGTTTGACATCATTATTATATTTAAAGATTACATTGAAATCCCATAAATTTATACATCTTAAAACTGTGTTTACAAAGATCAAAAACCTTTAGACAAGAGATTAGCATTTTAATAAATATTTGATGAGCTAACTGCAATCCCTAAGTCAGTGGTTTGTCTTTTAGATAGGTAATATACCTATCTAATATTCTAATAGACATCTGTCAGGCTATCATCGCTTCTTACAACCAGAGGAGATAGAGGCTAGACGTCGACACATCAAATATTAAAAAATTAACACTTTCATGAGACATACTTATTAATTAGTATGTTTTTGCTTACTCACGTAACTGTTTGACAACGAACTCGACTAGTTTCAAGCCAAGCTAGAGGTCGCGGAGAACCTAACGGGTAACCGGGGCTCCGGCTCGACGTGCAGGAGCAGGAACGGGGTGGTTTTTAGTCAATAAGAGTCTGACACTCCCTCCCGCCTCACCCAGGCGGGAGCAGTTATTCGATGATTTTCCCCCCTTAAAAAAATAAAAAACATGCTAGAGGCTCATTTAGCAGCATTCTGCAACTCGCTACGCGACGACTGTCGCGCGGCTACTGATTCTAAGTTGTGATTTTTTGTTTTTACTTGTAATTTAATCACGCTAAAACGACAGCATATGCCGCTCACGACTTCGCGTAGTTTGTGAGATGTTTCTGAACGGCGCATTCACTAAATGCATAATAATCCATATCTAAAAGAAATACCTTGTCATTATTTTTATACATTAAAACTTACTAATACTTTTACCTCAGGTACTTACAAACAATATGGCGTTCAACAAACATCCTAGCAGCTCACCGAGTGTACTGTGTAGTGGTCTACTGTGTAATCGCAACTATCTTCCGAGACCATCTCTTCGTGTGGAGCGTGTTCTCTCCCAAGTTATTATATGACTTCGTAGCGACAATATTCTCTCTACAAGCCCTCGCTACAATAGCACAGCTACAGTTTCTAGCCCATACCACTAATTACCTCGCTAGAATCTTCACGTACAAGTCAAGACTGTGATATAACTAGTGTTGTGCTTGCCAAAGGTATTCTATGTTTTGGTTATAGAGCTCAATTTACAATGGTGTTGAAGTGGTTGCAATGAGTGTTCAGTAGATCAATTGAATGTAATCTGCCTTTCTTCAATAGATTTAGAACTTAATTGTTGTATTATAGAGTTGGAAATCTATTGCAGTTGGATGGATTGGAGAAGGTTGGTCTGTAGAAAGTTGCACATACCGTAATGAACTTTATATCAATCGTGTGAAGTAAAAAATAAGTAGAAGTAAGTAGTTTACGAATTGGAAAGATATATCTTATTATATATTTATTTTATATGTTACTCGAATTGATATAGAGTTCATTATCCTATGTACAATTTTGTTGTAAAATACTTTCATTTCATTCACCGTGTAAATTGAGTATAAAGTGAATTGATAGACTTACAACTGTTGTTAAATATTGCCATTATTATGTTACTAGTGTTGTGATTATAAAGTGTAGAAAACTAGCGACGTCCATTTTGTGAACAAAGTTTATTATACAGGGGCCTATTGAATTCGTAGGTATTATAACGCTACGTCCTGCGTGAGCGATTTAGAAGCGGTGGCAAACGAATGCAATGCGTTTGGCATGTCCTGCGTGCATACAAATTGTTTCGCATCGTTTTTGTTTCCGTCATTATAACCAAAACAAACACATGACAGCACCGCATCCAAATATGATAATTCGCGAAAATATCAAATCAACATATCGCGTCCGCGTCATTTCGCACTCCACACCGCATTGCACAGGCGTATTATCACGTAGGACACTTCAATATGTTTCGACAGTTAGGTAATTGTTTTCGCACTGCTCCGCATTCGCGTCTAGATCGCTCGGGTAGCGTATAGAGGTTTGCCAGGATAATGTCATCTGGCGTTCCATTGCCTCTGTCAACCCCAATGAGAGACAAGCGGGACTGTATATACGTATGCAGGTGGCTTCTAATTGGCCGATCTGTAATATCATATCCGCACTACACTAGTATTTAGTCGAAAATGGAGTATTTAGTAGCTCTCTCTCGTATCTGTCCCAAAATCGAAGCGAGAGAGAGTTACTTGATACTTAATTAAAATACTAACGTAGTGCGAACTGGACATGCCAATACTGAGCCTGAGCCGCGGAGAACCTAACGGGTTACCGGGGCTATCCGGCTCGACGTGCAGGAGAAGGAACGGGGTTGTTTTTAGTCAGTAAGAGTCTGACACTCCCTCTCGCCTCACCCAGGCGGGAGCAGTCATTCGATGATTTCCCCCCTTAAAATAAAAGTGTGAAATGGGCATAAGATTTTGTGGTCTTATGTCCAACAATGGGTGGGTGTCTTATGATTCACGAATTCAATAGCAACCTGTTTAATGATAATGAGACGGTTTGTATGTTGTTATGTGAAGTACATACAGAAGGCAGTTTATTGTGTACTTATATTATGTAAGTAGTATATTTAATTGTGGACAATATTCTTATTCTAAATTAGCTATATGAGTGCGACACAAGGATAGTATTATATTTTTATTATAATTGTTTTAAAATTATTACTACTAAGTTATGTATGACATTCCGTGAACTAAAATATTATTGTTATACACTTCTCATGGATTTTTAATGTTATCTTACTAATGTTAGAAATGTGAGTTTGTGTGTATGTTTGTTACTCCAAACACGTCAAAACGTGGTCAAAACACGAAGGTATTGTGATGAAATTTTGAACAGAGGTAATTATAGTATGGTCTATTCTTATCCTACGTGTGGCTAGCCTCTACCTGGTAGAGGCTAGTATAATATACATATTTTTACTAAAAAGGAGCAAATAATAAAACAAATTATTATCTTAACAATTTTTATTAGTGTAAGTGTATACTGGAAACACATTTTTTTTAGATTTTTATTATTGACAATATTCTATAGGCGTCGCAGCGACCCCTCACCAAACCGATGTCCTAAATAAATCTAATTTTACATTTATTTGTGTGCATTATTTCAATTTAATCAACTGAACATTTCGAAGAGAATACGAAAATAGTTACGGATCTGCAGTTTCACCACCTACAAGCAATATCTATGAGATAAACGTTGAAACTATAATTTATCTAATGAATAGCTACCAGAGACTAACATGGTAGTGAAACAGCGCTTCATAAAATGCGAGTGAAAAGCACCCTTAAAACAGGAGGACTCCACCTCCCAAACGTTTCCATAAAAAATATATTCTGCTAAATAAAGTTGCTGGAATGCTTCATTATTTACCCAAAAACTTCCATCTTTACTTCAAAATATATTTAGACTCGAAAAATATGTAACAAGTTATACTTTCACTAGTATTTTAAAAATATATCTTGATGAATGTGACTCGGAACACTATGATATCATAACTACATATTATACATTTTGGCACTAACTATAAACACAGAATTTACACACATGTATATGATTAATACATACAAATTAGGAATTTAGACGTAAATGCACATAGCGGCGAACTGTAGACAGCCAATGATTAAGATATTTTCAATACCTAGAAACTACACCTATCCCCATTTACATTACAGTAGGTACTTTTAATATTGTCTATTATTGTAACCCATAGTCATAAGTAATATAAAATAAAAGCACGAAAATATTGTCTATACAATATCTTATGAAAGAAGATTAACAAAATCAACTAGGCATTACAGTAACTTTGAATTTGTTCTACTAAATACTGTGTGACGACCACATACTTGGAAGTTCGATACCAGAGTGCCAAGCACGAACTATCGCATTCGTAATGTAAAAGTATCGAGCGTCGGCGCTCTGATTGGCCGGCTTCAGTGAACTAACCAATCCGAGCGCCGAACGTGCTTACTATGGCACTCTGTTAAAACTCTGACGAAAAATAATTCGTAACTTTGTATAAATATAAAAAAATAATGTGATTACACGTGGCCAACTTCAAAGACTTGTTATTTAAATATTTACAGGCGTTATGTAACAATAATTATACATATTCTCTCATTATCAGTACACAAGGTAGAGATGATAGCTCGAAGGCTTTGTGATTTGCTTTAACAGCGAAGATATGACGTGGTCTTAAGTATATGTGCACCAACCCCCCTCCAATTACACCATTGGATTCTCCATTACCTGGAAAGAAGGAAATATTAGAATTAGAACAGACTAGATATTTGATTAATCCTGATTGGATGGTTCATTCGAGTCAGCCAATCAGTGCGCCGAACGCATACGCAATTCGATTACTTTCAACGTGAAACAAACTCGTAGTAAGGCTTCAGAGTACCTAGTGTTTTACGTTAACGCGATCAACACGCTTATGACGTTCGACGCTCTGATTGGCTGCACCAAGTTAATCAACCAATTAGAGGGGAGAAGGAGATCAATCAATAATCGCAGTAATGGTCCCATCGTAAAAATGACTGTTTTTAGAACTCTATTGTCAAGTTAGTCTATCGTTTTTATGAGATGGGTGGTAAAGGAAACGATGGATCACCCGATCAGTGCCACACATCGACACCCGTAACATCAGAGAAATTCTGAATGCGTGCGTGCCTCTAGCCTTATGTTCGTATATAATTTTAAAAACAATTATTTTTTTATTTCTCCATATGAATTGTGAATCAACTTTATGTCATACATCGAAGAAATTAAAGTTCACATTATCTAAAGCATATTTATCTTGTGCAACTAAACTTACTTGTGGTCTATAATTATGTTGGAGGCGTCAATGCGCCTGTATCTTGTACCGGTAGACGAGCACGCTAGCTACACCCATCAGGAAGCTCAACAGAATCGAACCCCACACGAACATCTGAAAACACAGTATTAAAAATTTTATAGTAAAGTTTCAAATTTTTTCATTAATAATTAATTGGTCACATTTAACTACGTAATGCAAGCGTCGCTGTACACGCTTGCATTACGGATTGTTGAAGCTATCATCTATTTCAATATCAAAACTCATCAAATAGGGATGATGACAGGGTATGAAAATTAAAAATCTAATTACTCCTACAGTTAGGTAATGAAAAAATATTAGACACGTATAATTGTATAATAAAATGATACTTAGATATAACGAATCAAAGTTTAGGAGTAGGGGCTAAAACGTCATTTCTATGTATAAAATGTAGGTACATAGAAGTGACGTCACGCGACATTTCAAATCAATATCGTCGAAAGTATTCGTTTCTGTAAGAAATACGTGTGTTATGTTTTAAAATAATCTACCAGACGGACATTAAAATTAAAATTAGTCATCTACCCTATTGGATTCAGCAGTTTCGGCATAAAGCGTAACAAGTCAGTTCAATTCCACACGACGTATTATAAATAGGGTTAGTGAACTAGTTATAGTATACATAATAACAATAATAATTATGTGTAGGTATAATACATAGCTACTTGATTTTCATAAAAGATTATATCATTTGTCCTTAGCATAATTTATCATAATTTCCTTATGAATGCGACAGGAGCCACAACCACGCAGTCATTAGAATTTATGTTCAAAACATTTTATATTACAATGAGCACTCTTGTGACAAGTGTGTAAAGGTAGAAAATCTTGTAATAGTCTTGGTCAAGGTCATTCATTTACTAATTGAATTGAATACACACTGAAACCAATCGAGGTAGTCTCGAAAAGTTTAGGGTAAGTCGTGTATATTTTAATCCTATATTGTTACATTACATTTTTATTAATCTTTATTTTACAAGTAGGGCTTTTTTCCTAAGAGAAAAACGTCAGCCCCATAATACAAAATTCAGTACATACTTAAATAAAGAAGCTGAACAGTTTACAGGTTTAGCATGCATAGGATTTTTTTTAAGGGGAGAAAATCATCGTATGACTGCTCCCGCATGGGTGAGGCGGGAGGGAGTGTCAGACTCTTACTGACTAAAAACCACCCCGTTTCTTCTCCTGCACGTCGAGCCGGAGCCCCGGTTACCCGTTAGGTTCTCCGCGACGCATGTATAGGATAAGGGATATAGTATAAGGATACTTAAACATAAAATTATTAAACGATACAATTTTCTACTCAGATGACGATGGTGACGCTAAAACACTGTGATAAAAACCAATATTAGAGCTCTTAAAACTAAAGACCTGATAAAAATACTTGTTATATTACATTTCTAAACAGTTCAAAATAAACAATAATCTCACCTTGGCTCTACTAGGTTTCTTGTCGGGCGCAGCTCCCTTCGGTTGGCTGGTGCCAAGCATCCGTTTAGCAAGCTTTCGTTCCACGGATCGTTCCCGTGTGGCCCTCTGTTCACATCGCTGGAGTTCCTTCCGGGCTCCCGCGTCCTCAGGGGCCGCGGCTGCAGCGGCCCGCGCTGCTTCCAAAGCCTCAGAATTGCGCCCCATCGAGGACAAAATGCGAGATTTGCGATATAATGCCTTGGCGTTCTTCGGTTGACAGGTTAGAACTCGCGTTACTGCCTGGAAACAAAATGTGGGAAGTTAAAATCCTACAGTATTAAAAGTCTGTATAATAAGCACCTAGATTTCTAATAGTTACTTTTTTGAACGTGTAATTGATGTACCTAAGTAGTTAGGTCCAAGTATCAATCTGATTAAAAATCATGTCTTAGAGAAAGCCGAAGCTCTATCATAAATCTTATTAATATAACTAGGAAAGAAATGGTTACACCTTTGTTAGACATCTACCAAGATTTAACCTAATATTTACATTCTGCACTATCTTACATCTCTATTATTGAATCACCAACCTGCAAAGCAGCTTCAAATGCACCAGCCTTTAACTGCGCAGCGGCCATATTGTTATGCACACGGAGTCTCTCCTCTAACAAGGCTTGAAGTTCATCAGATGTTGGTGGCAGGTCCCCACTGGCGGTGGGAGCGGTGATGCCACCGTCAGACTCATCAAGCACGTCCAACGCACGTCGGTATAGCTGCACTGCTAGGGTTGGCTCACCGCGACCGTACCACCAGTTTCCGCGGGCACGACGTCTGATACTGGAGAAATAGGGTGGGATTTTAAGTTTAAAACATTACTAGATTCTGGCTGTTACGTATTCAGTTTGTGTATTAAAGGATTTTTTGTCACTGGGCTTCTTCTGAATATCCAGAAGAAAGAAGCATAAAATACATGTTATTATGCCTTTTATCAAAGTAGAATATAAAATTGACGTTTGACAGTTTATAGTGAGTGTGGAAGAATTGTCAAATATTCAAAATTATTCCTCAGATAAAATAAAAGTTGTCTGGCGTTGAAAAAATCAGGAAGGAAGGAGTACCTAAGCAGTGGTGAACATAATTTATACCATCTTTTCAACCAGTTCTAGGTACTCTGGCTCTCAAAGTCTATTTTTTATAGAATAAACCTGTAAACGAGTAGACAGATCACTTTTTGGTAAGTAATCGGCGCCGCCCATGGATACATGAAACTGCAGAGGCGTTACAAGCGCGTTACCGGCCTATTGGGGATTAGGAATTTGAGGATTTTTGGGGATTTGGGGATTGGGGAGATTGGGAATTGGGCCTCCGGTAACCTCATTTACACGGGAAAGCAGTCACAGTGTTGTTTCATGTCGGTTTTCTGCGTGGCTGTGGTATCACTCCGGTCGAGCCGGCGGCCCATTCGTGCCGAAGAATGGCTCTCCCACACTTAGAAAAAGGCTAAAACTCTCAAAAAGGCTGACAATAATTTCATTGCATTTGCATAGGTATTTTAGTTATCAAGAAATTATTTGTCATAAAAAGAACTAGCCTATAGCGTGGGTACTGGGTGCCGGAGTCTAGGCTATATAGAGTGAGTTTAAACGTTAACTCGAAGCTACTAAATAGCTAGTTCCTATTTAGTGGGCACTGAGAGCCTGAATCTAGGCTACACATAGGAGTTTAAACTTTAAGCCTATACTCGAAGATATTAAATAGCTTGAATTCATAGGTTCACTGTAAAACTCTAGATAAAAAGAGTCTTGCGCAAGTCATAATATTATCAAATCTTCGGTCAGTATCCATTATCACTTCCTGTACACCAGCGTCCTTCTAACCTAGTTAAATTAAATACACAAGCCAGTGAATTTAATTAGCAAAGTTTATGCAAAAAATGTTTTAAATAAACTTCTATTTTTAGTAATAAAAAGGTCAGCATCATCCGATGGATCGGATTTATTAGAAAATGCGTAGTATTTAATTTATTGTATCTTCACGGTCGCTCTGTTATGGTCATAAAATCATAACATTCATGGTCCCTAAAGTCGTCGATCAAATGGCACCAGGTTATTGGCACGGTTCTAACATTTATCAGAAACATATTAATAAAATTCTGAGTCATATAGTTTTCAAATTACAATGACTTATGTGTAATCCACGAAAAAGTACACCTTGTGCCAGTCTTTTGACTCTGGCTGCTGCTCACATCATATCTGTCTACCAGGGGCGTAGCTAGCGCCGTATCTGCCGCATCAATTATATGTAGTCCAGGGGCCCTCAACGTGTGTAAGCAAAACTATAAAAACTTTTCAATTTATATTTTATTTCAGTAATCACAAAATGCGTGCGTTCAAAGGTTACCAGAAACCATGGAATAAGGAAATCTATTCCATGGCAGAAACTTTGGAAAAACTAAAGTAATCATTGTCCGATAAGTTTTCCGGTTTTAACACAAATTATTAGCACCTATATTAAACTGTCAAACACCAAGCGGTCACCGGTGACCGCGACCTATTGTTCTTTAATTGTGTCTATAAAACCGGTACTCGACGAGTTAAGTAAAAAAAAGTCATCTGAGAATTTTTAAGTACCTTTCATAAGGGCCCCAAATAAATGTTTATATGGGACCCCGCCAAGATACGCTACGCCACTGCTGTCTACTCATAATTTCGCTAGCAGCGTTCATCGGCAATATTTTCGCTAGCTAGTGGAATAAGTTTGTGCATCAAGTCTCACTAAAGAACATTTATTGTTCAACTCCAGTTTTGCAAAGCAATCATGCTTATGACCACTAACCCAACGTCACGATCAATCAATAACACTATCAAAAAAAAACCGCGTATCTACATATTGCCCTCGATCTAAGCAAAGACAATGCTTCACATTTGTCAACGTTACGTTATTATGTCAAGGTTTCGATATCTACATCAAACCGAGTTTTATGTAAATATATTCACTGACGCCATATAGAAACAATTCGTGGCATATTATATTAGTGTATGATTTGATTGCTATTAAGGTCTTTTTGGCTGTTTTTCGCTAATATTAGATCGCACGATTTTTTCAAAGTCACGTTTGTTTTTGTATCGAGACTATAAAGTTTGATGCGTTTTACAGATACGAACAATATTATATTATGATCCAGCAAGTTATTTTATCAAATTTCGTAGAAGAAAAGATATTGTTTCCGTTTAAAAAGGATAGAGAGAACTCTAAACATCCCGATCCTCATCTAAAAGTTCAGATATGATACATAATAAAAAATAATGTAATTTTTTTTTAGCGAATATTATTACGACCTCCGGTCGAGGTCGAAAGTAGACGAGCGAATTCAAAATAACGCGCGATATCTTCAAAAAAATATTTACAACTGTTTTAATCATTGCTACTGGCACAACGCTAACACTATGTAAAGTTCGTGTATTTAATAGTTATTGTCGATACCGCCCTCACATACACATATCACATAAAAAAATCCTTTAGTACACAGATTAAATTACGCATGCAAAATTATTATCTGTAATCTTATTTCAGACATTATAATCGTTGACCATACAAAGATATACTTTTAAAGGTCAATAACCTATGTAACCAGTTAGTATTTAAGTGTTGGGTACAACAACCCGCAAAATTGCGAAACGTATTATTTTAAGAATACCGGTTCACGATGTTTGCAATATTTTTTTACAAGTAAACATTGATTCTTGCAGTCGCAAGCCACGAAAGGCTAGTGTCATTAGAACATAGACTTGCCTATGTATACATAGCATTTTTTGAATAGTGGATATTTGTTTTATTAATCAATCTTTCGCGCACAGTATCTGTAATAAATAAGCTGGTATTTTGTGCTATAAATACACTTGATGACTCGACTCTTACTTAAGACTTATAAGTCACAAAAAATGGGTGATGCATTTGATGAATATCTAACTTGTGCTGTGCAACATCTAGGGGTAATTAGAGCTGTTGCCTTACCAGTCTCTAAGGAATTTAATGTTTATTTATATTAAATATCTTATCTCTAGTTCTTTACATGTTTAAACACCCCAAAAAATTTTTTACTACAGAAAATGATAAACATTAAACACTATATTAGTATATTCTTCCACTTACCCTGTTTCCATCCTCTCAGCAATGGGCAAGGTCTCATGTTCAGGTTCCTCAGCCCAATCATGAAGTTCCACTCGAGCATCTAACCAAGTATCAGCATCAATCACTGGACCATCATATTTCGGTCCATCAGTCTCTCCGATCAAACCGAGGCTCTCGCCAGGCTTCAGTCCAGTTTCGCCATAACCAAAACGTGGTGCCATTTGAAGAAGGCATTCCTCGCCTTTGTACATCATTGTTACTGCTAGGTCCAGCCCTTGTAGTATCTGAAACAAACACTCATATTCATGTCTTTGTCCCCTGGGGATCGGAAGAGGGTACAGAAAGGACTAATAACAATACTTGTATAATATTTAAGCTTTTATCACATTCAAACACCTGGTCCTACAAACCATACTGCACTGTTGTACCTAAAATTCAAATTGATTCTGGTTTTTTTGTTAATACTTTGGTCGGAAGAAACTGCTTTGCATAAGCAGTCCATTAGCCTAAGCCCCTAGGGGTTGTAGTTCAATACACATGATTGGAGAGCCTTTGTCAGATACTATTCTGAGTCCACCCTTTTGACTGATAAAAATCCTGATATGACAATCATAATATATCCATTCTATGCCCAAGAGTTTACATAATCAGTAAAGAAAAAGAAAAAGTGTGAATATGGTATCTTTATGGGTGACACATGAGAATTAGGGGCTTAGAAATTTTTAAAAGAACAATAATGATATGCTATGCTACATACTTCTGTAAGTACATGTACTTTCTTTGTCCCATTTTGGCACAGCTCCACTTTTGTAAATGACACTAATTAAACAATATATTACTCGGACCACAGTATAAATAGATTAGAGAAAATACTAAGTAATTAATAATTACAAATGATGTCAATTTAACATAATACATATTTACATTGACGTAAACAATAATAGTATGTAATACCAACAATTACATACATAATATTATCATTAGAACAATAACAATAACTAGTACAAAATGTGTTATTACTTGGAAAATAGATAAGATAACGACTTTCAATCGTGGCTTGATTGTTAACGCAAAGTTTTGAATATTTAAGTGCTGTACGTGATAGACAGATCTAAGATTAGATAGTCTATATATTTGTAACAAAAAATCCAAAGTCAATAACTGATTAAACAATATAATTTCAATATTAAATGCATTTATTTCTGCGTTTTGTAAATTTGATTATGACAATGTATACTTGTTGTGATGTTACAAAAGGAAAATGTAGTTTTTATTCACAATACACCTATTGTTGAACCTCTTTGAATGCAACTAATAAAGTTCTTTCTTTTATTTATTACTATTCTGACAATTTGTTAGTCAATGGGGCTGAAGTGTGTAGTAGAGTACCTACATGAAATATTAAATAAATCAAACTAAAACCTTTGTTTACTGTCAAATACCATGTAGAATCCTTTATAGTAGCTATTTACTTCATTTTTTTATTGTGTTAAAGAAATAGGTAATATAATTTATAGGAAAGTACTCACTTCATTGTCTCCCAAGTAAATTTTAACATGATCTCTTTTTTCAACCACATGGTCAGTATCCTTAATTTTGACCTCATAACTAATTCGGCATATATCACTTCTGTGAGGTCGCAAACCATTTGATTCTTCACCAACTTTTATTATCTGGAAATGAATTATTTTTAAACACAAAGCTGTTAAATCATATTATTGTATTTGCAGCATGAATACCTTGCAAAACAAAAGAAATACTGATTGGTTGGTAAATAGTGATTTCAATTTACATATTTTTACATACTGGCCATCAGAACTGCCAATCGAAAATATTAAAAATCAGTTTCACCGAATACGTAAATTCGCATATAAAATATTTATGAGCATAGACAGGGATGTTTTTAACAATTTTTTTTTATATCCATGATGTTTTATTGTAGGGTTTGTGAGTAAGATTATTAATATATAAAATGTAATGTCGTGATTCGTAATCACATTGTTGTCTGACCTTTTTAAGTAGCGCGCCTGACCCTAGGACATCTTGCCACTCATCAGTTTTTGTTTCATCCGTATTCGACTTATCTTTGGCAGCGGCTGCCTCGGCCAGCTTAGCCTCCTCGATCTCCTGAGCTGCCGCAGCTGCAAGATCCTCGAACGAACTACTCTCCGACTTGTCCACCAAAGTTCCTTCGCCCTCACTCATCTACAAACATGCGCTCGTGATTATGTACCCATCGTCAACTAATACGTAATAATGTTTACCCTTCTCGCGCAGTAAACAGATTTCAATAGATCTAAGACAACAATTAAATATTATTAAACAAATACAGCACACTCACCTTAACAGTTCAATATTTCAAATTAAATAAATTTAGAACTCCTTCCAAAATAATAATAATGATTATGACAATTCAACTTTTTGGATTTGACTTGACTTTTTTGTGAATGAATTGATTTGATTGCTCATTGAATGAATGTTATTTTATAAAAACACAAGGCCGTTCTGAACTACTAATTTTACTATTTATATCATTCTAGGTCTAAATAAGATTTTACGTATTTTATAAATAAACTTAACTTTATTTATATTGGTTTGAAATTTCATCTATCTTAATGGTTTTAGCCGGGACCGTATTTTTTAATAGTTTATTACCATATTTTTCTGTTCATAGGTTTTAAACGTTAACAATGTTTACAAAGGTTGATTAACTTATGCAAAAAGGTGAGATCTATATTTCATGAAAATTTAATCTTTTATGAAAGAATTTTCCTGGCGTACTAAAATTGAATATCCATCTAATTTCAAGATCCTTGTTATTAGGAAGATAAAAAATCGACTAATGTTTCTCTGTCTCATTACGAGCTTTATAAACTGCAGAACCTGTCAAAATATCTGTCATTCTTCTGTCAAAAGTGACATTGAGCTTGTGGAGAGGGGAGCGGTTTACCTACTCCAGTGAGCGGAATAAACAATCGATTTTATCTGCTGTTTTACTGTATAAATAAAAAATATGCAGAAGTACGAAAAATTAGAAAAGATCGGCGAGGGGACGTATGGTACTGTGTTCAAGGCTAAGAATAAAGAGACACATGAAATAGTGGCTCTGAAACGGGTGAGGTTAGATGACGACGATGAAGGGGTACCGTCCTCCGCTTTACGTGAAATATGTCTGCTGAAAGAACTGAAGCATAAGAATATAGTCCGACTATACGACGTCTTGCATAGTGAAAAAAAATTGACTCTTGTATTTGAACATTGTGATCAGGATTTGAAGAAATATTTTGATAGTTTGAATGGTGAGATAGACCTGGATGTTGTGAAGTCTTTTATGTACCAGCTGCTTCGTGGACTGGCATTCTGCCATAGTCACAATGTCCTGCACCGAGATTTGAAGCCACAGAATTTACTGATAAATAAAAATGGCGAATTGAAATTAGCCGACTTTGGGTTGGCTAGAGCTTTTGGGATCCCTGTGAAGTGTTATTCTGCGGAGGTTGTGACTCTGTGGTACCGGCCTCCGGATGTACTATTTGGCGCCAAGCTGTACACGACGAGTATCGACATGTGGTCTGCTGGATGTATATTTGCTGAGCTTGCTAACTCTGGGAGACCTTTGTTCCCTGGATCTGATGTTGATGATCAATTGAAAAGAATTTTCAAGCTTCTGGGTAAGTTATTAACTTTAATTGTGATTGATTCATGTCCATATACTTTCAGGAGTAATAATTTTTCTTCTTAAACTGATCTTAATTAGTTTAATTTCAACTTGAAGTAAAAAACGAAATTTCAAGTTGGAAAATGGAATTAAAAAATGAATGTTAGTGTAAAAACTATTTATTAACTATAAAATTTTGATCTGTAGCAGATTAAAGCAAATCCTTTACATATGACTATGTATAATTTTAAATTGAATTATAGGTCTTCCTTGCTAACAAGATGTGTAGTAACAGCCTATTAATCTCATTTATGTTACAATTTTCAGGTACTCCAAATGAGGATACATGGCCTGGTGTGACACAGTTGCCTGACTACAAGCCCCTGCCTGTGTACCAGCCTAGCTTAGGGCTGGCGCAGGTAGTGCCTCGTCTGCCAGCTCGCGGCAGGGACCTCCTTGCTCGTCTCCTCACCTGCAACCCAGCCCTAAGGATGCCTGCCGACGATGCCATGGCTCATGCCTACTTCCATGACCTCAACCCATCAGTAAAGAATGATCGATGTTAACAATCAATACGTCCGTACCGCTGCACCTCCGAACTACTGGTTAGTGATAAAAACAATGATGTTGATGCGGTGCAAGAGTGTTGTGACGAAGAAACTTAAATAGTACATAAGGACAATGACATCTTGTATGTTTAGTGGACCCAGTGAATTTATAAGTGTAGTTGGTGTGATGTTTGCATTTGTTTTGTAAATTATTTTGTTATGTTTTCTTTTTGCTGTAATTTTATTTGTATTTAGCTAGCGCTAGAGATTATTTATTACCGAAGAAAACTAGTGTTTATTCACTTACCAATACTGATGTACATACATAATCAATTGTTGACGTGCAATAACCTTGGCCTCAGTTACGTCAAGACTACAATATTTATCTTGAAATTACTCCAAAGTAGGTTCACATACATTTGATATTAGATTTCCATGATCTCATTGTATAATGCTAATTTATTGAATTGATATTAATATGCTTCACCAAAGTGAGATTTGTTTAAAAAGATAATGATTTTATGTACAATTAAAATAAAAATGCTCTTGTTATTAAATTTACAAATCAATTACTTGTACTTAATGATTAATTAAGGTTTGAATTTGTAATAAACGTAAAATCTTTTATAGTCAAGTAATAAACATTAATAGTAAAATACAAATAATATTTATACATTTTCTGCGGCTTCCTTTAACTCTGCACTAATGATGTCTGTTACAAATTCACCCATCTTCCCACTGGCCTTCATGGTCGAGGACATGGAAGAGGATGACTTAAATGACGAGGAGCTTTCTTCAATAATTGTTTTAGACATGTTAGACATAGTTTTCATTCCACACAGGTCGGATGTAGAGGCTAAACTTCTTTCGCCTATTTTTTCTGTCAATCCAGACATTCCTAAAGTTGATTTTGCAAAGGATTCTTCAATTTTGCTTGCGGTGGCGCCAATATTCTTCTCGTCCTTTTTTTCAGACAGCCCCTTAACTTCAACAACCTGTTTCGACGAAAACTTATCTCCATTAGTAGTCTCTGAAATTGTTTCTTTCAGTAGTTCTGGTTTTAGCAATCGACTATGTTCTTCTTTAAGCGTCATTTGACTATTTTTGTTACGAATCATATTATCATCTGTATCTTTAATATTTTCTTTGACTGAATTTTGTGTAATATCGGATGTCATTTTGGTTTCGATCTGGGTCTTTTTCGGAATAAAGCCACACATTTTGATCGGTACAATTTTTTCTTGTTTTTCACTAGAGGATTTCTTTTCAGCGATTATAATGAGAATGCCATCAGAGGACATGGATGAAGTAACGTTCTCTCCAGGGCAGTGACTTGGCAATGCGTAGCGGCGCTTGAATTGTCTCGAAATATATCCATGTGCGTCTGGCCTGTCTTCATGTTTCCCTTCAACTATAATTTCATTGTCCGTCACTTTCACACTTATTTCCTCTGGTTTATAATGTTGGACGTCCATAGTTATCTTGTAGTTGCCTTTCTCATTTTCTATTGTTGATCCGAATTCTTTAGTAATGCTTTGTTTACCCATTAGCCTCCAAGGACGAAAGTAGCTGGAATGGGTGTCGTAGAACGGGCACATAAATTCTCGTGATGGCATACACATGCCGAAGTGATCGTCTGACCAGCGAGCTGGACACAGTCTTGGGAACTCCATGCTGTGCGGATGCGACGTGCGGATACAAGTAAACAATCGGAACGACTGAGTTAGATCACACTGCCAAACGCTTTTATAGACTACCTACTTCCTATAATAAAACGTGTATGGTTGCCTCTTGCTAGGTATATTTTTAAATTGTACAGGACGATCATTATGGTTGAATCGAGTAATAGGTCGCATAAGGTACTGTAGTAATGCCTGTACCACTTACTAATCATAGCAGCTTAAGTTATCAAATAAATGTAAAAAAATATTGAGGGTAGATACTTACAGAACCACCTTCACACACATTCATACATGGGCATAATGATTTGGTTTAGTAAAAATGATTTAGCACGCTTTCAAATGTTTATCTACTGCCCACTTATACTAATGACGTATCAATTATTTTTAATTAAGTACATACAAAACATTTAACACTAGGCCCACCCCTGGACAACAAACATCGACACCAGTCATTGACGGGAGCTCGAACTTTCTCATCTATATAAATAGCGATGACATTCAGCTGCAGTTCCTCTGTTCCAATCAGCTTATTATTAGCATCGTGATCGAATTTCTTTGTTAATTAGGCGTTTCCTGTTTACTATTTGATAGGAGAACCGCTCCTTCAATTTTATTGTGGTTGTGGTCTACTTGTACTAATGTAATGTGTAGAGCATGGTTCACTACTGAGATATTTTAAGTTTTCTTAATTAGTCTAGAGAATTTTTGACGAATGGTGAATAAACTTTTACTTAGAGCAAGTTCAACTAAAACTATAGGATCAGGCGCGTGTTATTAGGTCCCAGTCTTTATTCTATTTAGATTTGTTTCTCGAGTGAGTTCCTATTCCTACTAAATAAAAGAAAGAAAAGAAACAAAGAAAAACTATTTATTACGCAATGACACACGATAAGAATGCAGGTACACACAAAAAGCCCATGGTGCGTCGCAGCACAAAAGGCCAGAGCTCAGCTCAATACTGACAAAAATATCGATACCGGCAAAAATCATTGATAGAGCGACAGTTCAGTATTAACGTGGCGCTGACGCAGTAGCTGAGTAACTGGCCTGTTGTAGGTTCGATACCAAAGTAGAATAACTTCTGAAATCGACAAATTGTTTTGGGTCTGTGTCTATTGTAGGGGCTACATTTATGAAATAAGCCGGTAAACGAGCAGACGGATCACCTGATGGTAAGCAGTCGGCGGCGGCGGAGAAGATGGGGTAATTGGTCCTCCGGTAATCTTACTCACACGACGAAAGACGACGCAAGCATTGTGTTTCGTCAGTAGGCAATATGGTCTAATAGGAAATTGCTTCTGATATATGGAACGGTCCTCTAAATTGTATATTTATGTGCCATGTAATAGAAAAGTCCTCTACATCTTTTACCCCAAAATTAGCAGGATTAACAAAAACAATGTTACATAAATATATTACAATTTTAATTCTCTTCCAATCAGTCATTGTTATACCTCATTACTAAGCAGAAAAGTTCATAATAATTATTATTACTAAATAATTATTTGATTATTCTTCTTCTCACCACATAATATCTAAAGATTAGTGTCATTTAACAACTGTACAAAGAAATTAAATAGTATAGGACAAAATTACATAAGAAAAATCAATCTTAATTGTAATTCATAGCTGTAAGGTTAGTATCAATGCATCTCCATTTCAGCTCTTTTCCGTTTTCTATGGTTAGCAACCATGTTTGCAGTAGTGAGTATGCTGTCTCCTCTCTGCAGCCATTCTGAGAGGGCTTTCTCAGTAGTTGCAGCTGCAGCGGCTTGGAGTCGTTCACTGACCGACAGAGGCTGAATAGCCCCCACTGAATCTGTTGATACACTGGCCGCTAATAACATTCTGAATCTCTGTCTGAAGGTCTGCAATAGATATATAATGGTCGTTTATAACAAAAATGTGTAATATTAAAGTCAAGAATAACAAATGTAAGGACTCATACTTACATTGATAAGAGTATTGGAAACTTCGCCCTTGATGTCATGCTTTGCTATGTAACATCCAAATTCATAAAAATATTGACTTAATTTGTGCATATCTACAGTACAAGCATCAGCGTTTAAAATCTCTCTATACGAATCTTTATAAATTTTAGGCAAGTCCACAGAAACCAATGGCGGCCTTCTTGAGTGTAAAGATTCAGCTAACCACAGTGGTATTTCTACATTTGTTCCAGCTTTCAAATCGTCTTCTGAAGCCGATGGATCCAAGAAACCTGGTGTAAGTAAATTAATAGTTAGTTTTATCCTAACCAAAAGATATACATCTACAAAGGTAGGTACACAATATCCTAACCCATTTTTGGTAAATCATGAAGGAATTTGCATGGAATTTTCTCATTGGTAACTAAGATATCCGATATTGAAAGATAGCCACTATTCTCCATTTTACAGTAGTAAATTAGATTGATAAATAAAAAGTTTTATTTCTACAAAAACAAATTAAATTCAGGCGCTTAAATTGACATTATTGACGGTAACTGACAGTTTAAACTACTGTCAAATTACGGTACAGACTACATTAAATTCTGTCATAGAATATAAAATTTAGTACTATGGCATACACAGACTCAACACTGTAAGGCTTGCTATGCATCAGGAGATTAACGGAATAAACTTGTTGTAATCAACAAAATAGCTACAATTCTTTTATGAACTTGAACATAATTCAATTATTCAGTTTCTTTTAAAATAAAGTTTTTTTAGAGAATTATATTAATCTTTGGTTATTCCAGATTTTTTTGTTTTGGAAATGAATCTCATGAAAACTTGTATCGAATACCGAATCGAGTAGTAGAGTACGTTTAATCGACTAAATTATTATTGTTTAAATTTTTTAACCTTGCAACATTGTAATCGTGGTGGCTTACGTTTGGGAAAGTGAAGTGTTTTTATCGGTCCGTTCGTTTGATTGATAAATTTTGCCGAAAACTCAGGTTATTTCTATGAGAGTGCATAATAAGAATTTACCGTGATATATGTGAATTGTGTTCTGTTAAAAACACTACTCAAATTGCTGTGATGATGATGTTTAGGGCCGACTAAAGCGCTTTCTCTGTCTATACAATATTTGGTATATCTACAGTGCCCACAAATACCTATTTATCGAAATAAAATAGAAAATACAAGGCAAAATGTCGGGGTAAGATTGTTAATCAATAACGTTTTAGATACTGTTTTAATGGTCTTAAGTCAGATTCTAATAACAAACTTAATAAATACATAAACGCCTACAGTTTTGAATGTGTGCTGTGGATACCTACCTACATTCAGATTATCTGTTAGATTTCTACAATTTATATGATGATTTTCAGGAAACCGTATACAGTGTCAGAGCTAAAGACTATTGTCGAGTATTTAGTGGAAAACAAATTGTACAGTGAAACAAGAGCTAGGAAGATGTGGGTTGATTTTGCTAACACAAAGGTAAGAATTGTTTTATGCTTCCCTTTCATAGATAATCCAATATCAATGTCCATAATGTTGAATATTGTAAACTTTGCAATGTATAGAATTTATGTGTAAAATAAAAAACAACAATCACATTCAATATTTTGTAAAAAAATCAATAACATTTTTCTTTGTTTCAATATGTATTGTAGGTGTTTATTTCTTCATGTTTTATTAATCTTGTATTACTTGGACTCAAAATTACAATTTTGGGATAATGTAAACGCCTTTTATAAAATCAAGCAATGATATGCTTAGATTACCCTTCTCTTGGAAAAATCGGTCAGTGGCTCATTTTAAGGGTGGATTGAAAAGTCATTTATTATCATTGACTAACTGGAGGACATCCTTTACTGAACCGTAGTTCAGAAACCTTCTTATGCCTTCCTTCCAGTTACTTTAATTGGTTTTTGTTTTCAACCGTTGTGACTGTAATAATAAATAAATAAATAAATAATGCCTTGTTTTTAGGCATAAGAAGGCTATTTTAGTGTTTTAGTCAAGTAGTGAATATTGCACTCATGCTTCTGCCCCAAAATCAAAACGAGAGAGAGCAACTAAATACCAACTAGGTACTTGACTAAATACTAACATACTGTGAACTGGGCACTAGTCTGCCATGGAGAATTAGAACTTTATCGCACTGTTGGTGTTTAGGCTTGGCAACCAGCTGCTGCACAACGTTCGTGGGTCAATTCCCCCATTGAGCAATTCTTTGTGTGATCCATAAATTGTTGCTCCGGGTGTGGGTTTCTAATGTTATAGGTCCACCTTGATCAAGCCATTTAAACTATCAAACACTGCGAGGACACCGGTGACCGCAACCTATTGTTCTTTAATTGTGTCTATAATAATGGTACTCAAAGGGTTAAAGTTATCATTTAAATTATATTTTTTTACAGATAACAAATAGAACTTGGCAGAGTTTAAAAGAAACGTTTTTAAAACGGATCTTACCGGACATACACAATCCATATTTTAAACTGACTAATGAACAGATCAGTAGTTTCAGAGCCAGGTAATATTTATTTTTATAAGTAATATTATGTTATTAATATATGAATTCCGAGTTTTAGTATTGTTAATCTTGACTTAAAGCCATGTGTATTATCCAGATTGTTGATGTGTAAAGCTTTGTTATTTAAATTTTCTGCTGGCGTAACCAATGAAGATTTCATATCCACATGATATTATTTGTGTTTTGTAATCACAAATAATCTCTGCTAGCGCCACATGTTAATTGTTATAATTTTTTAAATTGAAAATGGAAAATAGTAAAGTAAAAATATCTTCATGTTAATTGTGAGTTTCACTTCTCTTTTTATAATGTTTGGATTATGAATATACTTTTAAATTATTTCAGATGCAATCTAGCTGAAAAAGAAAAAAGCAAACTTGAAATTCACACTATCAGTGATGACTCCAGTTCTAATGGTACGAAACGTAACTCATTCGCTCGTAGTACGAAGCCATGGCGTTATAATAATATTTGTAAGATAAAAATGTTATATAGCCTTTGCATAATATATAAAACATTTTTTTCATGCATCTATAAGTTATTTTTATTTTAGAAACGCTTTTATGTTAATTTTTATCTCATTTTCTCATTGCAAATAGTTGTAACAAAATAAACTATTCTCTATTTTAGGTAATAATCCGAAAGATAATGAGCCGTCAAATGATGAAGGGGAGACCAATGCAGGTGAGAATACAAAATGTTCAAAGATACCTCTGAGAAATAGATCTTCAGCTGATACAGTAATCCTTGAACACTGCTATGATACCGTGGAGGATATACAAAGGGACTTGGAATCCACTGAGGAAAAAATTGAAGATTTAAAGCAATCTGTGGTTAACAAATCTCTTAGAGATTGTATAACTTACTCCGAACCTTTAACACCAATGCTGCAAGAAGTACTGGATGATTTTGCATCAGAACCTGAAGACTCTGACCGAGAGAACAGAATGGAAATTGTAGAGAATGAGAGTGTTCCAGAAGCTGAAAATGTTGAAGACATCGAGATCATTCATGAACAGCTCCCAGACTTTGACAATGATAATGCCACTACTAAAAGTGCTGAAGCGGACGCCATTGAAAATTATAATAGAGCTGAAATTATTGAAGAATTGTTAGATCAGGAAATAGATAGTGAAACCAGACCCCTGAACACAAATTCAAACACTGCAGAAGAATCTGAACCTGACTTACCGGAAGTCGTTTTGGATGAGGAAATTTCGTCAATGCAAGTAGAAATACACACTGAAAAGAGTATTGATGATAGCGCAGAACATATTGATTCTGTCGCTGTTGAAAAAGAAGCAGTACAACCTGATGCTAGTAATGGCGGGGATACTAGTTCTAAAAACTTACACCCAGAACCTCAAGTACAATCTGGTGCCATAAACACCTCTAATAGTACAGTAGACGCCTCTCTTCCTAATAATCCAGAGGCATTTAAGAATAAGCAACCTGAGAACGTTGAAGCTAATAATAAAAAGACAGAAGAAAGTACAAATGAAGTAACAAATAATACTGATAAAACTCAAACTGCTGCGAAAGCTGCCAGAAAAAGATCTGATTCTGAGGAACCATGCAACTATACACATAAAAAGAAAAAGCGACTTCACATACAGTTGAAGTCATCTTCCGAATCAGAATGCAAACAAACAACAGAGTCTCATAAAGTTTCTGAGAAAGCTAAGCTGCCAAAGGTAAATGGGGATGCTATTAAATCACAAACAGTAAAAATGGGCAGGCCTAAAAATACTGAAGACTATAGCAAACCTTCTACAAGTGCAGCAAGTAACGAGGTCATTGAAATAGAAGATGTTACAACAGAACTGCCACCGATGGTCAAAAATCCTTGCTTGCAAACAGTCAGTTTATTCGACGAACAATTTAACAAAACTAGACATAATTCGTCCGAGTCTAGTGACTCTGAGAAGAGTAAGAAGGAAGCTGTTAATGAAAAGCCAGATGAAACTGTTGCGACAATGACTAAGGAAGCATCGAAGTCTCGTTCGGAGTCGGAATCTGAAATAACGCCACCTCCGCCGAAGAAAAAGAGACGGACTGGTGTAATATCAAGTAAAAGTGAAAGAGACAAAGCTATTGCAAAAATGTTTGGAGTCAGTAGTGGTAAGTTATAAGGCGAAGTATGCATCTTGGTCACTGCTTGTAGAGTATCGACTTGAAAAATATTTGGCATGTTCTCATTCAATGTGACGTCGCCATTATCATGATTGTTCAAGCACAGTAGATCATGGAGCTTCACAGAGAAGGTATATTTTTATAGACTTGACTTTCTTTGCAAAAGGTTCGTGTTTAAGTTTTGCCTCAATTTCATAGTCGATTGCAGTTTCATTTTTTTGGGATTTTCACTCATATTTCATGCCTTATATGGCTGTGGTATTTATTGGTATTTTATATAGCATGGTAAAAATAAGATGTTTATATGAATTAAGGCAAAATATTTGAAAGATGTTTTAGTATTGATACATACATACATACATAACTTCACGCCTGTCTCCCATGGGGGTAGGCAGAGACTAAGGAACGCCAATTACTACGATTCTTACATACCTCTTTCGCTTCATTAACAGTCATCAATCTTTTCATGCATGCTCGTCGGTTAAGGGTACTTTTAATTTGGCCCTTCTTTAATATATCGCCAATCTGGTCACTATATGTCCGTCTAGGGCGCCCTCTACCGACGGCTCCATTCATATCCGCTCTGTATACTTCTTTCGTTACTCTACTTTCATCCATCCTTTCTACATGTCCAAACCAGCGTAACATTCCCTTTTCAATCTTTGTCACTACATCGTCTTTCAATCCACACCTCTCTCTAATAACACTATTTTTCACTCGATCACTCAATTTTAGTCCACACATACTTCTCAGGGCTCTCATTTCCACCGCATTAATCCTGCTTTCATGCTTCTTCTGCCACACCCATGATTCACTACCATACATAAGCGTTGGTGTCAATACACACTGCATTACAGCAAGTCGAGCTTTGCTGGATATTATTTTACTCGACATTACAGAGTGTAAAGCACCATTAACACTATTTCCCGCTTTCACTCTCCTTTCAATATCCCCGTCACACTTTCCATCTCTCGTAAATAGTGATCCCAGATACACAAATTCATTCACTTGTTCCAATTTTTCATCACCTATCATTACCTGACATTCTGTTATCACCTCATTTCTTTCTATCACCAACACTTTCGTCTTGTTCACATTTATTTTCATACCTTTCCTTTCAAATGCATCACTCATAGCAGTGACCATTTGTTGTAATTCTTGGGCCGACGAGGCAACAAGCACCTGGTCGTCGGCATACAACAATGTTTTAATCACTGTGTCATTCATCCTTAATCCAGGCTCTCCTACTTTCAGGTCGTTCAAACAACTGTCCATAAATAGGTTGAACAGCCAAGGAGATGCTACACAGCCTTGCCTAACACCGCGATTAATGTCAAACCACTCCGTGTAGTCCCCATTTATTCTGACACAGGCACTCGAGTCCTTATATAAGGATTTAAGTGCCCGAATCAGGTGGCTATCCACCCCATACATGGACAGAGTTGACCACAGTTCATCCCTCACCACTCTGTCATAAGCCTTTTCTAGGTCTATAAAGGCACAAAATACCTTTTGGTGCTTTGATAACACTTTCTCTGAAATGCACCGTAACGAAAAGACTTGATCCGTACACCCCATTCCCTTTCGAAATCCCGCTTGCACATCCCAGATTTTACGCTCAGTTACATCCATCACTCTTTCGATCAATACCTTGGCATACAACTTTCCTACTACGCTTAGGAGGCTTATACCGCGATAATTTTTGCACTCCTGCTGTGATCCTTTTCCTTTATATAGTGGCACAATTACGGCCTTGGCCCAGTCTCCCGGGACACGACCGCACCGCCAACACTTATTAAAAAGTAGATACAGCAGGCTTGCAATTACACCTCCACCCTCTGTTAGCATTTCAGAAGTTATCCTATCACATCCCGCTGCTTTACCTACTTTCAAACTCTTAATGGCACTCACAATTTCATCCATATTTATTTCTCCCACATTAGCACTTTCATTCTCATCGTTTACTTCCTCTTCTTTCAAATCACTCCTTTCAAATAAATTCTCGAAGTATTCCTTCCACTGCTTTAAAACATCCTTACTTTCTCCAATGACACTCCCATTTATATCCCTTATCGTACTTACTTTCGAGTCCCCCACTTTGCCTCTGGCCCTTCTAACTAAATGCCAGAATAGTTTAGCGTTGGCTCGAAAGTTCTGCGAAAAATTCCTTTCAAACTTTTCCTTGCATTCATTTTTCTTCTTGCTAACTACCGCTTTTGCTCTCTTTTTGAGACTTACGTACTTTTCTTTCATACTTTCTAGCACTCTCCTATTTGCCTTTGAGGCTAATAAGTCAAGCCATGCTTTCTTCTTTTGCTCTATCACCTCTTTTACTTCATCATCCCACCATTCATTCCTCTTGCTTCCAGTGTTATTTTTCTTGCTTACCCCACATACTTGAGTAGCTACTGCGATCACTCCATCCTTAAATTCCTTCCAAAATTCTTCTATATTCCATTCGTCACCTTTCATTAGCTCCCTAAACCTTTCATTTAATAATTTCCTGTACTGGTCCCTAACTTCCTCTTCTCTCAACCGTTCAACTCTCACTCTCTCGGTTCCAGGCAACTTTACCCGTGGCCGATGTCTCCACTTCATTGTCAGTCCAGCTATTCTGGTAATTACTAGGAAGTGGTCGCTTCCGACATTCGTGCCACGGTAAACCCTTGTATCCTTCACTTTTGTCCTCAGGCGTTCATCAACAATCACAAAATCAATCATACTTCTTTCTGTATGCCTCTGCCATGTATACATGTGTATCTTCTTGTGACCAAATGTTGTGTTGGTCACAACAAGTTCCTTTTCTACACATATATCCAGAAGACATACACCATTCTCGTTCACTCGTTCGTCTCCAAATCGCCCTAATACTCTTTCGTACCCATCGCGTGCCACTCCAACCCATCCATTAAAATCTCCAAGCATAATTATTCTTTCATTCTCTTTACATTCATTAAGAACATCTCTCAAGTTATCCCAGAATACTTCCCTCACCCCAATTGGCTTTGACATGTCCGGGGCATACGCACAGATGACAAATAATTTGGTCAAGCCAACTTTAAGGCGGATCCAAAGTATCCTGGGACTCACACATTCATACTCTTTCACACATTCATTCATCCTTTCAGATAGTATGACCCCCACGCCCTGGCTGCCTCTCTGGGAACTTGCAACACCAGACCAGTAAGCAATATATTGGCCATGCGTGGTAGTCATACAACCCTTTCTTTTCGTCTCGCTCACCCCTAACAAATCAATCTTTCTTGTATTCATCATCTCACATATTTCTAACATCTTGCCTTCTACACCTCCACACACATTCAGTGTAGCAAAAAGGCAATCCTCAGTCCGCTTGCTGCCTACGCACGGGGAGACAAAACGTGACGTGTGGCAGAGCACGTCGCCGTCGGGAATTTCGCCCCCCCCAGATACGACGGGGCTGCCTGAGCAATCATGCTCAGGGAGGGATTCTCCAGCGGAGCTGGTACCCTCCTGGGGTAGTGTACTCTTTAATCCCCTGTTCATAATACCCTGTAGTATTGATATTATAAATATTACGAACTTTCAAAAATTTTGTCATAGTCTGTTATAAATCATTCATGCATGAAAGGTTTTTATTTTTTAAAGCATGTTTATAGAGAATTTATGTTGAATTACAGGTTTTTTTAATAAAATTATAGTTAAAATTTTAATTAAATACTTAAAATTTTCATCTATAAACAAAAGATATTAAGTATTAGTAAGGGGATATTACAGTTGTCTTTCTCAATTTTACCACTCATTCTCCGAGTGAATGAAATTGATAAAAAACGCCTTTAAATGTACCTGTGCATTTAGTCTCACCATTTTGTCCAATAGGTGGAGGAGGTCACTCAAAGCGCAAAAGACGTTCCAGTCATCGTGCTGATCGTGCACGAACTACTTCGCACAATAATACTTCACAGTAAGTCACGTTTAATAATAATGCATTTGTGCTCAATGCTCCACTGCCATAATGAATTGCTTGCCATCAGGTGATCTGTCTGCTCACTTGCCGTACTTCCCTTTAGAAAAAACATTATCGTCATATGGCATCTATCTGCTTATACTTACTAGCTTTTGCCAGTGACTTAGTCCAAATAGAATAGGCATTATTGCAAAAATTGCTCGCGGGTTGTCTCCGGTGTTACGAAATCCAAAAATATGTGGCATTAGCTGGCTAGATTTGATCACATCACCTGGTTGCGGAAGTCCCCCTTTACTAACTTTGGGAATATCACATCGGAAGACAATGTCTAACGCATTAAGTCTGCCTGTACAGATATCTTGTATTAAGTTTAATATAGAAAGAAATCACACCTTGTTCTCCAAAGTAATATTGCGGGATAGACTGATAATACTAACATATTGTTATGTTTTAGACAAAATGCTACTCGCTCAGATCCAAGTGATTGGACTTCAGAGAGCGAGAGCGAGGCGTATGTGTCGCCACCTCGTGGCCGTAAGAATAGGCCGACCAAGAAATATCTGTGAGTATTATATCAACCGAAAATCTATACTTATTAATTATTATCTTATCTTATAAGTACTATCTTATTACTATTAAATAAACCTTGTTTAGTTTGTTTGTTTGCTTGCTTGATCGCGCCTATCTCCGGAACTGCAGGTCAGATTTCAATAATTATTTTTGTGTTGCATAGAGCGTTTATCGACGAAGGTTATAGGCTTTAGAACATCACGCTATGACCAATCAGAGCATAGCAACGGATGACACCGCGGGTGTGGCTACTAATTTATAAATTCTGTATTTATTATAGTGCAAGCTTCGGTATTTATTATAGTTCCTTGTATTTAGTATAGTTCCTTCCTTCCTTCCTTTATCAATCATCTCGCGCTTTTTACATCAGCATGTTTGCTGTTTGTATTAACTTTTGAGTTTTTTTAATTTTTCTGTCAAAGATGTGCCATGTACCTATACACATACGATACCTATAGCAATTATGATTAGCTTAAAATAGCGAAAACTGTCTTATCTAGTTGGTGGATAAGTTTAAGAAATCATAATACTAATGGAACTAATCATAAAACTAATCATAACTGAAGAACCTCATTTATATTTATGTTCGAATCCACAAATTCATAAAATTCATATTCATAAAATTGCTTCTTTCATTAACAATATCAAAACGAAACGGAAAATTGCACTTTAATAATACCAGGGTAAAAATCTTTATGCTTTGCAGAAAGCCACGTTCAGCCAAGATATCTTCACTTGAGGAGGAAGGCGGACTGTTCGTGATGTACGGCAAAAGAATATACCCAGTGGTGAAAGATGGCAAGATACTCAAGAACTATGTTACATTCCTATCAGAAAGTAAGTAAAATAACCTTTAATTTTATCATATTAATCACTTGATATAAATCCTCAAAATTTGTTCATACAAAAGTAGTCTCTAAACATCGGAAATAAGGTCTATAGCGGAGTTAGTGGAGAGCGGTCACAGATGACCGCTTGGGAATTTGTCAGTCATGTGTCATGTATGTGTAATTAATTATTTGTGACAATTCCAGGTGATTCCGATGAAGAATTATTCTGGAAACAGAAGTATGTTGAGGAAAAGAAGAAGGCTGCTGAATTGAAGAAGTAAGTTGCATTTGGACATAACATAACATAACATCACGCCTTTTATCCCCGAGGATAGGCAGAGGTGCATATTATACCACTGTATAAAGTAACACCCACTTTTCATGTAATAGGTGGTGAGCCTATTGCCATATACCGGGCACAATTCCAGACTCCGTGCTACTACTGAGAATATTATAAAACCCAGTAATACTTTGCTCGACCCGGGAATCGAACCCAAGACCCCTTGCCCGGCAGTCGCACTTACGACCACTCGGCCAACGAGGCAGTTTGTTGGATTTGGAGTACATAAATATATTGTAAGGGGGCTTGTAGGTTTAACCTTTTGTCTTCAACCCAACTCAAATGTAATATAGTGACATCACATCACTATCACACCAGTAGTCTTCTTATGCAAAGAACTTCACAGTTCATCATCATTCAGTCCTTATCACTACTTTCACAAGTGGTAACCTTACTTCGACACAAATGAACTGACTGGACCAGAGTTATACGGCCATACATAAAGAAACAGCGTTGAACAACGCATTATGTTTCGCTGTGTGACAGGTTATTGGACCTTATATCTTTCTGCAACAAACATGTAACTCATTATTTTTCTAGGTTATTAGAAGAAGCCACAGAGCCTAAGCCAAAGGCAATAGAGAATAACCAAGCTCCAGCAGTTCAGCAGCCTAACCCAATAAGGTACTAAATTATTATTTTACTATTTAATATTTTAGTATCCTTCTAGAAAGTGATAAAAAGTTTCTAATATACATCTTTCTGCATTTTTTAGTACTCCAAGACCTAGTCTTGTTCAGGTGGCTGAACCTTCAAAGTGCCAAGGTAAGTTTTTGAAGAGTGTTATCTAACAAAATAACAGCACTTTCTTCCTTTCCTTTATGAATTCCTAAAAATATTTTCATAATTTCGATAATATAGTCTTGTGTATTATTTGGTGGTTACTCGTATAGAACATTCTAAAAATTACAATGTATGAAATTGGTAAATTGGTCTTCCCATCAACCAACAGACGTGACATAAAACTATCTTGTAATAAAAATAAAAGATTGCTATTCATCACATATTTCATACCGTGTTCACATTGATAACTGCCATCACTGACTGACCACCATTTATTATTTTAGCAAAAGAAGTACCTTCACCACAAATAGAAGAGAAGAAAGAAGCACCAAAAATGGGCCCTGAGAGAATTAAGATTAAATTCACGAAGAACAATGAGGTGATTAATTTTTTTAGTATTAACATTTTCGCCATTTATTTTATGACTCCCATCTAATAAAGGATATTTTTTTGAAGGGGGAAAATCATCAAATTCTCCCGCCGCCTGGGCGAGGCGAGGGAGTTTCAGACTCTGACTAAAAGCACCCCGTTCCTATTACCCTGCCCTTTGAGCCGGAGCCCCGGCAACCCGTTAAGTCCTCTGCAACTCCGTATCGGCATCAGCCCTATTGGGCCCCATCCGTGGTGGTCTGATGGCTCTTTGAGGCTCGCGCGGAACTCGACGCGCCGTATGCTCGGGTCTGTTTCTGGTCGGACGGCGAGCATGGGTGGCACAGACCCGTGCTTACGGTGGCCCGTGGTCCCGGAGTGTCCTTCGTCCTCACGCGACGACTGGGCTGTGAGGGGGCAGCGCTTCGCTGCCTCACGCACCCCGCTTCCTCCATAGCTAGCATGGCTGCTTCGCAAAAGGAGAAGACGGCATCCCAGGCTTCTTCGTTTCGCATCATAGCCCGGTCTAGGGCCGGACGCGAAAGCTCGCCGTCGCCAATCACATCTCTGAGGGCACGGCGGTGCTCAGCCCACGCAGGGCATGCCCCTACAGTGTGTTCCACCGTGTCCTCAGGGCAGTCCTCGCAGTGATGATATCCGGGCGTTTCCTCCCGCCCCATCAGACACAGGTACCTTCCGAAGCTCCCATGTCCGGTGACGACCTGCATCAGACGCCGTAGCGTCTCTCAAGCCACTTCTCAAAGAAGGGACTTACCGCTGCAATGGCAGCGATCCCAAGGGGATGGATGAGCCTATGGCCAAATTTGCCAAATATCGGGATATACAATTTTTTTTATGTTTCAGGAAGTCCACTTGGAGGGCCACTGGCCCCAAATCCACCCAGTCCTGGAGCAGGTGGTGCATATCTTCCACAAGGAGTCTGAAACAGCTGTCACCGAGCCGCCACCGAAGCCAGCCGCTACCAATGGGGTCAAGGAGCTGACCAGTGGACTCTCAACACCCATTGTGGTTACTGTTGACCCAGGTGAGTGGCTGATGGTCTGACTAAAGGGGGCTATTGGATGTTAAATTTTTGACAGCTACAGTGATTGGACTAACCTCAACTGAGCTTTGCGCCATCTAGTGAACAAAAAAAAACGGTAGCCCCCATCATTATTCAGCTTAGGGTTTGAACCGAGAATCGTTTTTAAAACCTCATCTTCCCTTGGCATCGCAATGGAGCTTATTAAAAGTATATTTTTTTGACTAAACTGAAAATACAAGAGGCTGAAAATGCAGGCTGATTATGTTTTTGTTTTTTTTTTCATTTCACCAAACAGGCGCAACCGCGACACAGCTATTTAATTAATATTTCATATTACATAATATTAATATCTATGAATGTAGATATGACGATAAGTATAACTGTTTATAAATTAATTTTGCAGAAGTACATGAAAAAGTGAATAAAATTGAGAAAGAAATATTTCAAGAGATTGAAGAACGAGACCAAGAAGAAGATGTGAAACAAAATGGTGTCAATAACGTAACTAAAAGGTACTTTACATTTATTCGACAAATAAGTTAAAATTAATTTTGACAAAATTTTGGACTTACTATTGATTGAAACTTTCAAGAATAATTTAAATGTGTTAAATTAAACACATTGCTATTTCTATTGCATAGTATGTATATACATATTTATTTAAAATTCACTAGGAAACAACCTGCTCAAAGAAAATCGTCGTCATCATCGACGTTAGTAACGCCAGAGAAACAGCGAAAAATCTCCAATGGGACAGACAAAGAGACAAATCAAACAGTAGCAAAAAGCCGACCACGTCGACAGAAGGCAAAGGAAACAGAAAATAAATCCGTTGATAATCAAGAAATATCTCCTAAAAGACAAACCAGAACGCCACGTAAAGTATTGAATGGTAAGTCATACACAATAACAATTTCACCATGGGTTAATTTCAATTCTGTACTTATATATTTATTATATTGTTGTTACAAGTTTTGCAAGTCTACATTTTTAATTATTAAAATGTGAACAATGTCTATCAACAACTATACTCGGAATTTTAATTCGATTCCAGATTTGACAATTTCAGTGTGGCAACGTTATGACAAGTACTAAATAGTGACGTTGCGAAATTATTCGATATGGAAATGAAATATTTCTGGATCGATTCTTCTCGTTTATAATAATTATAATTTTACTCTCGTGAACTAAGTTTATCAGGAAATTAAATATTTCTAAACCGATAATTTAGTTTTGACGATTAATTAACGATCTGAGACGTTTTTTTATAATTGTGTGTGAAATAAATAAAAAAATGTAATCATGAAGGAACATGACAAATAAAACAGATAGATGTATTATGGTAATAAGTTATTTTATATTGTGGCCGTCATCGCTATCGCTATCCTGTCACTTTCTGTAACATTTATTATAAAACAAACACACTGATTGTTTATCGATTTTTGTGTGCATCACTACACTATTATATGTGGTATCATTATTTCACAAAATGACAGTAGCTATTGTCAAATCTGGAATCTAATTAAAATTCTGACTATATGGTTGAGATTATCTATCTATATTAATATCAAAACTTTCGCTAGACATACTAAATTAATTATTATGTCTTCGGCTTACTCACGTAACTGTTTGACGAAGAACTCGACTAGGGAAAGTCGCTGCGTCGCGGGTCGCAGAATCCTGCTCATGAATATGAGTAGAGGTCCTAGTAAAAAAACAAAAGTATCGCTGAAATTCGAGAACGACTGAACCGATTTCGCTAATGTTGGTCTTGAAATGTTCGTGGAAGTCCAGGAAAGGTTTAAAAGATGAGAAAAAAGTTTTTAGACGGTACAAAGTTTGGCGGGCCAAACCCGATTTAACAGTTAGTAATACTCCTTAGTTCCTTCCTTTAGTTCTGCATACTTCTTCGCACCGTGAGGACTAACCCGTGATGCTGGAGAGCAGATCATCTAGAGACACGATGTGTTTCTATTATGTCTCATACATGCAGACAATAGGTTAAAAAGCGAGACATTATCTTACGTATTATAATTGTTTTTCTACAGAAACTGTAAACACAAGCAACTTGAAAACAATGCAGACTCGCCGATCGAAGCAGAATTCGGAAACCAGCCCCAAAGAACAAAAAGAAGTCGTATACACGCTGACACGGAGCAAGAGGCTTTCACTTAGGGCAGCTAACAATAAAACAAATAAAAAAACGTATAAAAGGTAAACTGTTTACAGTAAAAATATATTTATTGTAACAAATGAATTGAAAAGTCAACAACATATTATTAACCGATTACAAAGCAGATTCTTTGTATGATCAATCTAGTTTCAATAGATTTCTGCTCACTTTTATGGGGCAATAAGATTTATTGTGTGCGAAAGTTCGTATTTACTGATTACCAGTTGAAATACGCACTCTGAATAGATTAAAAATATAATTAATTGGTGTTTTAAACATAGTCGTTTTAGTCTGTAAGTCTACTCGATGTGTCATATTGAAAAAGTTGTCACTGTTCCTTTTTTAAACACAGTAAAGAGATTGCAATAATTTTAGTGTTGCCGTCAAAAAATATTTTTTTATGCAAGTTTAGGCGTGTTTATGGATGTGATGATAGGTGGAGAGGCGACACAACTTTTGTAGTTTAAAATTATAGTATATCTCTTTTCTGTATTTAAAAAAATACAGTGATGACTATAATGCTAGGTTGGTATACTAAAGAATCTGTATCATTCTCTTTGACCTAAATATATGTGTTAGAATTTTAATCAGCATAATATTTTCTGAAATATATAGTCTTTTTACATAATCTAACCACGATAGTCACAATTTATTATTATATTTTATTTTTCTCTAGTGCAATGACCAATGAAGAATTATAGCGAAATGGTTTTGAGTTAAAATTATAATTTTTGTACATATCTTACGCAACTTTTGTTGTAATCTGTATATGGACAGAGGGCCCCATGGTTTTAGTAACTAACAAATTATGATACACCTAATACTTATATTTTAACATCACACTCGATTAAACTATCTTAGTTGAATCTATCTACTTTTTTCTTTCTATTTTTTTTTATTTACACTTCATGCTATACAATGGCGGACGTAATGCCTAGTGGTATTCTCTACCTATTTTAACAAACCTAATTAATTCATGCTTCAATGCTCCTTTATCTTCTACCTTTATTTTAACAACAATATAATATTAAGGGCCAATTTTTCAATGCTCAGATAAATTTTAATTAAGGAATAACTTTCAATATTTGACAATTCTCCCATACTAAAAAGTGTCAACTGTCAATTTTGTTCCACAGTTAAGAATTAACTGGGCCTTTAGCCAAACGCCACTTTAGCGCTTGTCTACAGAGAGAGTAGAAATCAAAATGTATGAGGATGACACAGACAAGTGTAAAAATTTACGTCAATCCCATATAATTTGGTTTTCTATTCTAAATGTAGACCAGCGCTAAATGGCATTTGGCTACAGCTGCTGATGATTGAAAAATTGGCTCTAAGGATCTTTTTCACAATGGTTAACAAAGATTCTTTTAGCCCAACTAACAGATAATACGTCAAATTAATCCGTCAGTTACACTAACAGAAACTTTAATCAGTCGTTTTGAAACAGACCTTAAGTAATGTCTTATTACCAACTGGAAAGTGAATGCATGAAGGAAAATTTACAATTTCTTTTCTTTTTCATAAAGGCCTAAACTTTATACCTGTCAATATTTTAATTTTTTGCGCTTTTTCCAGATGGTAATACCAAATCTTACTTTAAATTATCGTAATTTATAAAACTGGGGTCAATTATTTATTAAATTATTTTATTTTAATTAGATACAGTATACATTATTATATAATAGTTTTAGAATTACAGTCTCGATGTACTAGGATACTCTTTATATCTAATTTCAAAATAAATGTGGTAGAAAGATGATTTTTGGAAATCAACACTCAATTATGTGTTAGGTATTAAGACTTAAAGTACAAGAATTGTACTGATATTGAGTTGTTTTAATCATATCGCATGCAATTTTACATTCTATATTAAATGTTTTACAATAGTCTCTGTGGGCCACTAATATGGGCACTAAGTTTTAAAACTTTGGATTTATTTGTAAATAACAAGCAGTAGTTAAAGGAGCTCGATGTACCGACTTCTTAAATGAATTGTGTAATGAAGAATGGGAGCAGGTGGATTTCAGATCAATAAACTTTTCAATTGTATGTTGTGTATTATTTCCTTTTTATTTAATTTAAGTTAGCTTTAATTTTCACTATAGAGGTACAGATTTTGGTGAGTGCTATTTAATTTTAAATGCTGTATTTGTAAACCTGCTTCCATTACCTATAACCTGCATGTTGCTTGTTGCACATTTTATTTGTTTGCACTTTAGCTTCTGCTCCACTCCTTTTGTTGCGCTTCTAATGCCATATTTTGCTTTTCTCCCTAACAGTGCTGCAAAAATTCCGAGGATATTCTCGTCCCCTGACAATCTGGCACCTTATTCTATGGACAGTACGCAATGGTACCATGATACAGACACGAGTCCAGCCAAACCAGAAACAAGGAGAAAGAAAAAACTGGACATGTCCAGCTTTGTGATAAAAACAAGAAATTCATTACTGCGGAATTCAAAGAGCAAAACCTACCCTTATTTATACTGTGATGCGTACAACGACTCTAGCAACTCGTCTGTTGATGCACCGGCAAAGGTTGCTCGGGAAAATTCGACTCTGAAATCCGAAGCTTATAAGTCGGACTCTTACCAACACCTCATGCCCCAAGTAAAGATCATACTACCGAGGCATTTGGAGCCAATACACGAGACACCTCCTAATGAAAATGGAACTTATTTCTCCAAATCTTCCAAAGAAATGCGCACTGAAGATGTATCGGCTCCTAGAAGAGATAATCATACCAATAACTCGGGCCAAATGACGTGTGACGTCGGTAGCTCCAGTAATATGTCCCTTCCAATGTCCCCGGAATTATCAATTGTGGAAAACTTATCCGTATCGAAAGAGCTTCTTAACTCTGCTGAAGATTACCCAATTATTAATGAAATGAAAAAAACTGATGCAAATGAACCAATGTCGTGTAACAATTATAGGATATCAGAAGTCGACGTCACTTTACCGCTGATGAACCAGGAATGTGATTTTGAAAGTTGTAACAAAGCCAGTGAACCCAGCAGTGGAGGGCAAGGGTTGGTTACAGAGTCTTTGCTGAAGAAAATCGACACTTTCAATATAAATGAGCAAGTAACTGCAACAGATACATTGAACAAAAAACTTCATGATCTTCTTTTAGACAGTGCTAAGAAAGTGAGCAGAAAACAAAGTACAGAGAATAAAGATAGCGTAATGGAAATAGATGTTACTAGTGCTCCTAGTGGTGATGTACAAAAAAAAGCTAAAGCCAAAAAGAGATGCTCCACCCCGCAGAAAAGAAAAAGATCAAAAAAATCTGCGGCTCCTCAAGTGGATCCTGTCGTGGAAGAGGAACATGTGGAGTCGTTCTCACACGGCGGTGGAAGACAGTCATGCCCGCCTCTCTTCCAAGCATATCTAGGCGATGAAATCTTAACTGAAGAAATAGATATCGCTAACCTCAGCAACACCAATAATAAACCAAAGGGCAGAAAGAAAAAAGACATCATCAGAGTTAAGATACAGCGGCCAAAACGAAAACCGGGCCACGAGAAAGTTCATTCGAAGTCTGCGAAAAATGCAAGCAGGTTGTCACTTTTCACAGATAGCGGTATTAATGAAACTGAGTCGGAGGTGTTTCAACCAGTCAATGAAAGTGTGGAACTAATACATAATCACTCGGAAACGTGCCTACTAGCTAATGAGTGTGTAGGCGACAGTTTAGAGTTAGTAGAAGATTCCAAATCAGTTATAACTCTGGACGATTCACTGCAATCTGGCGATGCGTGGAAAAGCCAAACACAGAACATTAATGAACACGACACTTCGCCGTCACCTGATGTGTTTTGCAACAATGCCCAAGATGTATGCTTGTATAAAAGTAAGTAAACCAGTAATGCAGATAACAATAAACATAGTCTAGTTTTTTTTAGGATAATCGAGTAGACAGGTCACCTGATGGTAAGCAATCGGTGCCGCCCATGGCCACCTGAAACACCAGAGGCTTACAATTGCATTACCGGCCTTTTGGGAATTGGGAATTTGAGGATTGTGGATATTCAGGGATTGGGGATATTGGGGGTAATTGGGCCGGTAACCTCACTCACACTCTGTGAAGCCGTGGTATCACTCTGGTCGAGTCAGCCCATTCGTGCCGAAGCACGGCTCTCCCACACTTTAATTTATGGAATCGCAACTCTGCAAGCGCAACTACCGATCAAGAGGTATTTGGTTCGATTCCCGGATAGTATGCATTATTAGGATGTTTTTTCTGGTTTAAAAAAGTCTATTTGGTGATAGTGGGTGTTGTATTGTAGATTTGTTGCATCCCGCTGCGTACCCTCTCGGGGATCAAAAGGCGTGTTGTTATTAGTATTAATATAGTATATAATATAAGTATAGTATTAAATCAATTCATAATTGAATGGTGGCAATTGTTAGATACCGTTATCTATTCCCGATTTTATTCCCCCTTTCGGGTTTGATAAAACAAGTAATAAAACTAAGTATAATACTTTTATATTATTATTTTCAGACGGTAAATCGGACATTGATAGTGTAAGCGAAACAGTATATCACAGCCCATATGGTACACCAAATAGCCTGATTACGGAAGACATTTCCGACGATTCTCCTTTGGCATCACGCCCAGCGAAATGGTACTTGTTGAGCGAAGATGAAACCAATAACACGAACTTGGTGGGGCAAGGAACAGCCATGCTAAACGCTGGGAGCTACACATCGAATCTTAAACATATATTCCCAGTCACTTGCGCCGTACCAGATTTATCGACCATTACAGAAATGTCTGACAACAGTAGAAAACCCGCTCTAGAAGATTTAGCCGGTCTAACAGGAGATGATTTTAATTCTCTAAGCGTTTTCGAATCTAATTTTAATGTTTGATCCATTACAGCCTGGTGCTTTAAATGTTCAGTAAAATTTTGTTAATGTATTTTGATGATATTAATTTAATGTTAAATTATATTTTGATACTTAATTATTTGCTTTTCTTTAATTCTCTCCTCGAAGTTTCATAGTTTATTGATTACTATGTTTAAAGCCCAGCCAACTTAATCAAATGTCCTAGGATATAGGCCTGTTTTATGTATCACTAGCTTTTACCCGGGGCTTCGCTCGCGCCACAAAAGGATAAAAAGTAGCTTATGTGACTATCCATCCGTTCAACTACCTTCAGTTAAAAAATCACGTTAATTAGTACCTCCGTCCTGCCGTTTAAGACAGGCAAACAAACAAATACCTCTCCGCTCGCGTGGAATTCGGTTATATCGCGCTATTTAGATTTTTCCAATAAGTAGTTAATTCGTTGACTGGTTTTAAATGACATACAACGCCATCTTTACCAGTACATACAGCGCCAACTATACCAATATTTTTGTTTTTCCTAGGAAATATCAATTTTTCCGGGATAAAAAGTACCCTATTATTTAATCCAGACTTTTATCTTTACGTCTGCAAAATTTCAAAGCAATCGGTCTAGTAGTTACGGCGTGAAGGCGGAACAAACAAACAAACTCACTTTATAATATAAGTAAGGATAAGGATAGTCGCTAGCGTACCTGCTAGGAATCCAAGGTTCGATGCTAGTATAATTATGTAATATATGTATGCAAGTGAGAAATTATGGATGGGTCTTGTTTATAAAACCAAAATTAGTGAAGTTGTAACTCTTTAGCTGCACCTCTGCAATTCTTGTCCTACACTTATCTTCATAATATCGTTATTAACCTTTTGAACGCCAGAGCAAAAACGCATGAACTTGCCCTCAACGCCAGGCCACAAATTCACCGCAAATACCTACGAAAAAAATAGGGATTCCAAAACTTCATCGATAATCAATTTTATTTTCATTTTCGTCTTTAATTTCGAAATATAATGTCCTTATAACATTGAAATTTAATTCAACATTACATTTCTTCCTATTAAAGTAATAGTTATACACTATTTACAGACTTGTATAATACCGTAATAACAGATATGAGACTACAATATATTTAAATATAATAACTGTAGGTACAACACTATTCTTGATCTGCTGTCTTCATATTGTGACCATGGCATGGACGGCCCGCCATTTTAATAACTACTTCGCTTCCGAAATAAGGATGTGGCAACGTAATATCTCGTTTATCGATGTTCTAGTACAATATTATTTTATAATAAATGAAACAAGTTTTTTAAATCAGATTTATAATTCCGAATGTAACAGGTACTTAAAAATATATGATTGAAATAGGTTAAGAAGGTAAATAAAAACTATGAAAAAATAGAAAATTTTAATAAAATGTTATACAGTATGTACTATGTATACATGTTTTTGAATATTAAGTTCTATAAACCTGGCATAAAAAGTAACAAATTAAAACAATTAACGATTATATATAATTATCACAATTACCAATCAGTCTTATACTAATAAATCTTTTGAATAATAGAACAAAATTATACAAAATCTACAATGCAACCTGCATTCTGATCATCTAATTCGCTGGGTGCAAAGTGGGTGGTGGGGACAGTGAAATCGATCTCAGCGCGCACCGTGGCTAAAAAAGGAACTTTTGGCAGACTTTATTCCACGAAGTTATAGGTAAATATGGAGCCCATTAGAATAAAAGTTTCGAGTCAAATACTCTCGCTCCTATTCTCTGAGGCAAACTGAGGTCTGATCTCTTTTTCTAGTGTACTACAGAAATTGAAACAATTTCTAATATGCGAAGAAGTTCTTCCGTAGTCATTAAATTCCCACTCATTATAATAGTCACTTAATATAAATCTTGAACTCGATATCACAAGTAAATTAATCATAAATATTATTCATTCACTTCACTAATTTCTGGTCGCCGCGCTTGACGTCACGATATTGTCGTCTAGTCGTGACCATGGCGTACAGGGTACTGATAATTCGGGTTGCGTTAGGGATGCGCTTGAGTTGGATTATGAATATCGAATGAAATTCGACCCAACCAAATTTTATTTTGACTATGTAGCTTATTGAATGATTTTTAAGACTGGTTTTATAAAATTAATGCTGCTTTATCCTAGTACCAAATTATACCTAAAATAATATATTCCAGAGAAAAGTTTCGAATCGATCTTTGATTTGAAATAATGATATTATCCAACATGCGCTACATCACTAGCGGTCACGCAGTTATGACTCTGGCGTGTGAGGACATTCTTTTTTCAGAGTTTATTTCTTTCTTTTTAACGTAAATTTATAATGCAATTTAATTAGTTTTATGGAAATAAATAAATTTTGGACCTTCTATTTTACAGGTATATAAATAAATAGGCATTAAAGTAATGTTTAAATAGTTTATTTCGTGTTTTAATGTACCGCTGTTTTTGTCACATATTTGTGTCGTTGGCGCTCAGGGACAGTTTTCGCTTGTCACGTATTTGTGACCCTGGCGCTCAAAAGGTTAAAATTAAAAGAACTGAATTGCAACTGGGTTCAACTTCAATTCTATGTTTATTTCTGTATTCTTCATCTATAACATTTTAATAAAACTTCCGAAAGTTTTATTAATGTTTTCCCACTTGTTTTGTTTGAATAAATTCATTGCGTTTCAGAACTTTCCGTTCTGAAACGCAATGAAATATTTCATCATTTAAAATATTTTTTTTCTTACTGTAATGTCAAGTCAATTTGGCACCTGTCATGTTATTCTGACATTATTGTTGTTTATGTGGGAACGAAATTCAGCTATTTTACACGAGATTGAAGGAATTTGTCGAAATACTGGTACAATGGTATAAATTTTCAAGATGCCGAGAAGTCTGCCATTAAGAATAAGTATAAGAGACTGTTTAGTTTTAGTTTTATTAGTTATATTTAATACTATTCACATTACTGATATGGGTAAGTTAATTCGCATCAATTATTTACTAAAATCATCAGTTTCTACCGTTTACTATGGTTTTTATCGGATAATTTTATCGCAGCTAACAATAATATGGACATACAGAGCAAAGAAAACAAAATAAAGGATGATTCAAATGACAAAGGGGTGAATTTTAGTGATAATGAAGAATACTTGAAGAGCTGTCATTTTGGTGACCAGGACGCTGCTGAATGTTCTTCTCTACAGTATCCTTGTATAACTTGTGATCGGAGCATAGATTGTCGATATGGAGGTTTCTATAATTACTCCTGCACTGTCAAACCAAAAATTGTTTGCAATGTAAGGATACACAGATTTATCAATCATTCTAGCTATATACAATGCTTAATTATCAGTAACTAATATATTTATTCATTTTCCAGGGTAGCAAAACCTTCAACAGGACAGCAATGTGCAGATTTTGTTATCAAACAGAGAAATGGGAACATCGCTGTGACCAGAAAGCAAACTGCAATTCTCTGGCATCACCATTGAAATTTTACTTGTTAGTATAATGTATTCATGTTCTTAAATACACACTGAGTCATACTACATTTTCCTCATATTAATTTGAAGAACTCAAGTGATTCTCTAAAATGTTAGGTTAATTAATTATATGTGCCAACTTTACATGACTTAAACATAATAATTTAAAAATTTTCAGGACTAACTGTACAGTCTCAGATGATGTGCTGTGTCTAGGAAAGCGAAGATTCCTAAAGAAGATCCAATGTTCCTGGACTGCGGGCACTCGCTGGGGTACGGCAGTCATCCTCGCACTTACTCTTGGAGGCTTTGGAGCTGATCGGTTCTATCTCGGCCATTGGCAAGAAGGGATTGGAAAGCTCTTCAGCTTTGGTGGACTTGGCGTTTGGACTCTAGTAGATGCTTTACTTATTGGAATTCACCACCTCGGGCCGGCCGATGGCTCCCTCTACATTTAAATAATTGTCTCAGTTGTCTTTAATTAATTTAGTGTATCTGTAATTTACTTATTTATTTTTAATAAAATAATATTTTGTTCTAATTGATAAGTTTTATTGAAAATAGTTATCATAGATATATAGTTATTATAGATAATCCAATAAGATCTTGTATTGCCTGCCTTGTTGACCGAGTGGTCGTAAGTGCGAATGCCGGACAAGGGGTCTCGGGTTCGATTCCTGGGTCGGGTAAAGAATTACTGGGTTTTAAAAAAAACCACAGTATTAGCATGGAGTATGGAAATGCGCCCGGTATATGGCAATAGGCTCATTCCCTGTTACGTGAGACTCATAACATAAATAGTGAAAAATGGGTGCTACATTGTACAGTGGCATTAAGTACTGTAATGTGTACTTCTGCCTACACTCGGGGATAAAAGGCGTAATGTTATGTATGTATGTATTCTTGAAAAACATAAAAGTTTGAATATTGGTTAGCATAGAAACATAATAGTCATGCTCTTGAGACTTTTTATGCAAAATAAAATCTTTTCTTGCTCTATTTTACCATCGTGTTTGATACATAATGAGTATATACAACAGTCTCATTGGTTGAGTGATCGTAAGCGAGACTGTCGAATAACGGGTGTCGGACAAAAGTACTTATTACATATGGATTTGGTTTTACAGCTTAGCTTTAGCTTACGTATATTCTTGGTATACTACTTCTTGGCAACACGGTCATCCCTCTATTACATGGATTTTTTTATTCCATTACCCACACTTGTCAGTGTAGTTCTCGCTTGGCGTGTGTGATAATTTCTCTTGCTAAGCTAATGCCGGAATACTGAAACGTTACTCAATTTTAAGTCGTGCTTAAATATCGTGCCATCTCTGTCATTTTACAAAGAGTTTGTAGAGACGGAACTATACTTAAGCACGACTTAAAATTGAGTAGCGTTTAAGTATTCCGACTTATGCTATGCAAATAGGCGAGATAGCAGCCAAATGGCTACCCTTTACCACGATTTTTAAATAAAGAACCTATTGAGGTATACGTACTTATGGGTCTCCTAAGAAAAGGCATTGAGGAGGCAACAGCCTCAATATCTAGCAAATCGATAATCATCATAGTCAGACAACAGCTTGTATTGGTAATGGCCGGACAATGGGGTTCTACAAAAGATCAGTTCTTTTTAATCCTCACGCCTGGCAGAGGAGTTGGAGATCGAAGGATTTAAAATTATCAAGTTTTTATAATAACTATCGTGAGACATACTAAATTAACTAAAAATCGCGGGTTACTCACGTGGATATACTGAGAAAAGCTTCTTCCTCATGAGCAGCGTACGCGGTCGCGGCGATATCGCGCAGCCTACTGGATAGCGATGGCGTTCGCATCGGTGTTGCTACTTGCGCATCTAGCCCAACGCGCCCTCCGCCGGACTCCACTAGCGTTTGCTTCCAACTTATGCCGAACCCAGAATCGAACCCACTACCAACGCCGCTGGTGAACGTATCTACCCGGCACTTCAACATCGTCCAGCGCGCTGCCGCCGGAGCTATTAGTACTACTTACTAGTAGAGCTTTTCTCAGTCTATTCGCGTGAGTAACCCGCGATGTTTAGTTAATGATCAAGTTTATTGGAGAGCACTGCTGCCTGGACTGTGTTGAATATATTCTCTTATAGGTATCTCTGTCCCTTAGTCTGCTTTGACACCCGTGTGAGGAGTAGGGTTTACCCGTGCTACGAATAGGGACTCTAACCTTTCCTTCCACCCATAATCTTTGAGAGAAGCCGGTCGGAAAGTGGTCACATGCACATCCTCGCTGAAGATAGACGTACATGTTCATAGGGATTTGCCCAAACGGTGTTGTAGGTCTAATTAGGGTTTCCGAGCTAGTCTGTTCGAGCTCCTCCGAATGAATGACCCCAAGGTTAAAAAATCCCACACTCTAGTCTTTCTCCCTAAAGTTAGGTCGCCACTTTTTGAAAGTTTACTCCCGTTACAAAAAAGGGTTTCGTATGTGACGGCATTGTCTACCTAATTGATAGACCTATAAACTGAAGTGAGTATCTTATGATTTTAATGTTAGTTCGATCGGACTTCAATGCAATTTTCTGCACGCAACAGCAATAATTTCACATCCTTTGTTATTAGAGCTACCTACATACTTCTATCTACAGAAAAACACGCCGCACGCGCATTCCGATTACGTTTCTCGTGGATAAAATATATGGGTTAGAAATGCCCGTTATGATCATTTGATAATACGATTTATAAGATTTAAACAAGATAAACCACACTAAATACATATCACGTCGTGACAAAAAACAAGGTACCTAATTCAACAATATAGATAGAGATGTGGTTTTTCTTTTCAGTTTTGTGAAGTCGTTTCCTTTTTACCTAAATGATGAACCTATCTTGCATAGAAATGTAAAGAATATTTTAACGCTGTGCGTTGAATATGTACAACACGGCATCCTTATAGCGTAAGATAGGTCTTATAGGCAAGATCTGTAAAGTTAACTTAATTTTAGATCCTACATCCGGTCCATTATTGTACTAAGCCTAATAAGTTGAGGGCGCCTTGTTCTCATAGGTTTGACGTAGGGTGTTACTGGTGCTAGTAGGTAGGTATATGAGGGAGGAGGGACCGGGCGGGCAGCGTCCGTGCGGTTGTGAGGACGACGCGCGGAGGCGGTGCGGCGGCGGAGCCTGCGCACTAGGCGCGCCGTTCCAGACCTGCGCGGTCCGTCATTCGTACGCGGGTTCACGCCGCGGCGCCACCTCGGTCGGTTACTAGCGTTCCGTTTGTTCCCTGAGCTTCGTCGCGCTTGGTATCGCGTGGGTAAAGCCGGAACGTCGTGCCGGCCGTCTCGTGGTGGTAGCGTGGCGCTGGAGCGCGTCCCCCTGGTCCCAGAGCACGCGTGCGCTCGCTCGCGCGTGCGCGGCGCTTCGTGCGCGCGACGACGGGCCGCGAGCATGCGAGGGGCACGGCGCTGCCGCGCGTAGCGAGCCAGGCCGTGCGCGCTATCGCCATGGGCTGCGCCTCGTCCGCCGAGGAGCGCGCCGCCATTGCGCGCAGCAAGCAGATCGAGAAGAACCTCAAGGAAGATGGCATCCAGGCTGCCAAGGACATTAAGCTGCTGCTCCTTGGTAATGGAGTTTTCTCTATCTCTCTCTAGGTAGCAGGTGCGCGCGCACAGCGGTTCGAGGCCTCAAGCTCTATTGACTCAGACTACGAAGCCGGCAATCAGCGTTTCGGGAATGTAGATGAATGCATTGACGTTTGACATGGAAAACTTTGTGAATGGATAGTGGGTAGACAGTTCCTAATTTTTAGATACTTTGGTACCTAGTAAGTAAGTACCTACTAAGTACTGTATTTGTATTCTGACTACTCCACAATGTTAGAAACTTGTAGCCAGGTGTATATCTGCTTAGACCCTTCATTCTAATTTTAGGGACGTACATACATACTTAGGTTAACTACTTAGTTACCTGGCATACCTACCTACTTAGCTGATATTTGGTCATATGGTACCCAACCTAAATTCTTTTGTAAAGTACGGAACACATTAATACACTACGAGTACATACGTGTCTACCTAGGTTAGACCTATAAATATCAAAAACAGCTAAGTATAAATCGGTTCGTGGTAGAGCCAGACACATATTACTTCATTATAAAATTAGTGTTGCTATATAGTCGCTAAGCCAGTTTCACAATGAATATCAAAAATCTATGATGATTGAAACTAGGGCTACATGTAAGCTTAAATGCATTTGAAGTGTTTGGGTGGGTGAGGGGTAAAGGGGATCAGTGACCCCAAATCTTGTAGCAATGGTGTACATTAGGCCCCTTTTTGGCAACTATCTATGATGCTGCTACTAGTTGATTGCGTAAACAATTTTTACATGGGTGGCACAGAATTGTTTGAAAACATGGATCACTACGACCAGTTGAAACTGTATTAAAAGCAAGATGGTGAATAGTTTATTCTGTTTATTATATTTGGGTGGGGTAATAGGTTCTTATTCGTTTCGAGGATTAAGTATTCGATACACAGGTCTGCCATTCTAGCTTCATTGTTACACCACCAAATAATGGAAACTCTCAAATACAAGTAATTAGGTGCCGACTGTATAACAGATTTCAATCGATTTTTTTTATTAAGATGTCGTTTGTTTTGGTTGTGTTAATATTTTCGGTAAGTATTTTTGACGTCGGCTTCATGTTTTTCTGATCCTAGGCCTTAGAAATATTATCTTCAGCATGATATCAATAAAGCCACAGGCCGCAAACGAATATGGTAGCAGCTGCGTTCCTTGAACTAGTACTTGAACTAATGCACGTATTGTGAAGTAAAACATTTGTGTCTATACTTACTTAATATTATATTCTTATCATTTACATTTTTAAAAACAAATAAACTGCCTTCCGATATATTTATGATGAAAGATTATAACATAATTTTGAACTAAGTAGCTACATAATGTCAATGTTTTAACCTACCTGCTCCTAACCCTTGCATGGCAAGTTTAAACCTGAGCTAAGTGGTTTTAAGGAAAATTTATAAATACAGTAATTAAAGTTATTGGGGAATGCCTATCGTCTTTTGATTGATGATTGTAGGAAACATTGAATTAAAATGTAAGAACTGTATGTAAGGCCCAAGAAAAAAAATATCCCCAAGAACCAACCCAAGAAAAGATTTTTTTTTCATATTAACAGGTCTTTGATATACTAAAACACGAATAATTTCAATATAGGTAATTATCATCCTCAGCCAGACGACGTCTACGGCTGAAAGAAAGCCTCCACAGTTCACCACTTGCACCCATTGGTTATCCACGCTAAAATACTATCAAGTGACTAGGTAGGATTCAAGTGTGATTTATTTTATATTAAACCAATTAATTTAAATTAACCAATACATACGAATGCTAATACCTATATAACAAACATTAAGATACCTAGTGTTTGTTAAAATCTTTTGAAGGTTTAACATTTTCCAATAAAATGTTAGATTACTAATTTGATGTATAAATTAAAAATAACGAAGTTTAATATTTTCTATATTTAAACAAGACGTTTTTCGTTTATGAAAATATAAATTAATAAAATTATCTGAATGGTTTTGTGTAAAACGGTATTTATTTAAAATTGGCGCCATCATATTTTTTTAGTCTGAAAAAAGTACATTTTGTCTTTGACAAATCTTTGATTTTAGCGCATTGCTCGTGCTCTGTTTCGCGTGTGAATGTACTTTCACGCATGTGTGAGCGAGTCCGAACGAAGATTTCCGAACGCACCCGAACGTCAGTCGAGCGGGGCGCGGTCGCTGTCACGGTGCGGAGTTGGTGTGGTGCTTGTCATCCGGCCGCCATTATCTCGTATTTAAACGGATTTGTAAAATCAATTAAAGTTTGCATTGTCGTTGCGTGTTTTTAGTGTTCGGTGCAGCAAAAATCCCTGGAAATATTTGATTCGTGATCGTTAATCTAAAGATTTTGTGTTGCGGAGTCGTATGAACAGTGATAAGTGGTACTGTTAGGTTACTGTGTGTTGGGTGCTAACGTTGTGTAGGGTGGCTCCGGTCTCGCCGGAGCGGCAGGACGCGTGTGGAGCGCATGCAGAGGGAGCGGTGAGAGCGCGCCCGGCTCAGGGGTCGGGGCGGCCGGCGGCCAAGGAACAGGGACAGCTGCCGACATGGGGTGCGCCCAGTCGGCCGAGGAGCGTGCGGCTGCAGCTCGCAGCCGACAGATCGAGAGGAACCTGAAAGAGGATGGAATCCAGGCCTCCAAAGATATCAAGTTGCTCTTATTAGGTACGGTGTAACTGTTTAACTTGACTGCGATCCATGGCCGCACCCATGTTTCGGGGGTTTGTTGCAGCTATTGGGCGTCCTGTTGGACACTTTTTACATTAACGGAGTCCCTTGTAGTGGCGTCCTAACGTTCATCGGGCATTGTATTCACTCGCTGAGTATTTTGAACGAAGAGTGGCTTTCACTTGAAGCTAATCATTATGCCGGCATGTACGGTAGTTCCGTGCGCAAATGAAAGTTCCTATTTGTTTCACATTTAGGAAACATGAGTATGAACTCATTGTCAGTAATTTCTATGCTAATCATGGTTGATTTCAGTTTCAATGTCGTGAATCTATACAGGAGGGGTTTTCCTTATCGTATTTCGACATATAGGACTACATGACGTACTTTAACATTGTCGCTATTTGTTTTACCTAGCTAATGAGATTGATAACATTTATTTGAACCCATGATGTCATTATCACTGAGAAATATATTTTTACTTTTTACAAAGTTTTCACATGAATTATTATGCATTAGTTATTGAGTTGATTTACCTAATAATTAAAACCTCAAAAGCTAGTCTAGCATAAGTAGAAATAGCATAAGCTCATACTTGACACTAAAGAGTAAGATTTATAAAAAAAATAGAAATACAATCACCCATTTGTGCCAATATTTCAACTCCAATAAGAATAAGCCACAATAAAACAGTAGATTCTTATCAAGTATTACTTTAACTTAGCTGGTAAGGAAACATCTCCATTGTGGCAAATGGCAGTTTTCCTGCTATTTACATAGATGACCTTCAAGTGATAACATTTTCAGACTGATAAAGCACAAAAGCAAAATCTATTATACAATACAAACTAAACAACCTACACTTATAATATTTCAATAAAGTACTTCTTGCTCTCAGTTGTTCCCTTTAAAAAAACAAATTGTATAGAAAATGTATTAGTTATTGCAAAACCACATGTAATGTTGTCAGTAAACAATCAACTAGTATTTAAAGAATTTTAATCACTGTAAACACTGTACCTGTTGGCAGTGTTTTGAACGGTTGCCAATATTTCACCAGAACAATGTCATTCATGTTTAACGATAAATGGTACAATACTTATTTACATTTAAATACAATCACTAAAGGAAACACAACTAAAAACTCAATACATACAGTTTTACAGTACCTTGATGAATTAACATTATAGTTTTTCCTTTGATTTGTACCATAACAATGTAACAAATTCAAAAATGTCAAAATTGATGACAAGTTTGTTCTGCAGGCTCCGATTTCCTCACATTGTGACTACAATCATGTGAGTCATAGAGTATAGTGCATACTCTTTACTCACATTCTCATTTCATTATACACACAGAATATCATTGGAATAGGAGCCAAAATTGTTGTGAACTTGTAGTAAAGAAATAATTAAAATATGTTACAAAAGCAGGTTACCTTGATCTTGACACTGATGTGGGTGCATTGACTCGAGCTCTGCTAAAACAGCTGTGTTTAATGGTCATTATGGATTTTATAAATAGATAATCACTTTCCTTATTTCATAGTGTCCTTGTGTTAGTTATTTATTTGCCATATAGGTTGTTACCTAAATTTATTTATCAAGTTTTAGTATTATATCAATTGTTCATAACTTTACCTATAGCATGGTTATGCATACCATTCAAAACCAATTACTTAGTCATTTTACACCCAGAATGAGTCACCATTATGTTTTTCTACTGTCTACAATGAAGTGGGTAGTTCAATGATCAACAATTTCTGTTTCTTATTAAAAAATATTTCATTACTCAACTCCATTGGTTTATGTTATATGTAGGTAGTATAATAGATTGTAGGACATGTTTAGATCAGCTAGTAAATGATTGGATCATTGGTGTTCAGACTAACTACATTTTGTAATATATACTTACATACATAGTTAGCTGCCAGTGTATACATTCCAGTTCACATTCATGCCATTGTTACATTCTTACTAGACTTATTGTTAAAATATCTAACAAAACCACACAAGCTTTGGGTGAAAATCATAACAGGAAAAAATATCAGAATAATTTTTTGAATGCAAAGTTATGACTTGTGTCCTTCTAAAACACTGACATCAAAATAAATGTCTAGAACTCTAATTAGAATATTAGAACAATTGTTTAATTCTCTGCATGTAGTCATTTCAAGGAAAATGAAATCAAACAAAAAATATGTTTAGCAATCATATAATGAGTATGTGGTGACCATTCACATGTGACAAGTGTGTCAACTAGATATCTTGTGCTAGAAGTTAATTGAGGTGTCACGGCATGCCGGCCGTGGTTGACGGTGCGTGTATGTATGACCATGAATGGCGTTTTGCTTTAATGAGCCACTCCTCACAACACCACATGTCTCACTTTGAAAAAAATCCATACATTTCAATGGTCATAGTTTGTAACCTCACCTTATACTCATGTTACCTATTACGACTTTTATTAGAAAGTTAATTGCAATAGAAATAAGATCCATATTTCAATGTTAATAAAATTGGTTTGAGCAGGGCAAATTATCTTGGTCAAAGCACAATACAAACTTATTGTACTTTATGTAGATCATTCACACCATTCTCACATAATGTGGTCTACTCTCGCGTAAATTATTAAGTGTAGTCGTAAAAATCTCAAGTAGGTATTGTCTTTAGTGTATAATCAAGTCAATAATCTGGAATAACCACTGGGTTTAGAATTCATCCGTGTATGTCACGAAATGGGTGCTTGTTAAAGGAATTTGATAAAAAATATTTAAATCGACATCATTTATTCTATTATGCATGCACTAAATACTATTTGTTACGTGAGGTGCTTCGTTTAAAACTCGAATTAATTCCCTGCCCAAGTTATCCAACTGGCTTTAAAAAAATTGATAACATGTAACGTTTTTCACATTGTATCATTTATTTTTGCTATGCACACATACAATACGATTTTTTTGTTTATTACTATCGCAACGTGAACTTCGTAAAGCGATAATTCTTAATCTATTGCACTAATCGGTCAATATCGATGTTATTAAAAAGATAATTCTGCTATAATCCCTCAATATTAAGTAATTTGTATTAGATAACCGGAAAGACTTGGTATTGAATGTTTCGTCTTCGATTTACCACTTCTAGATTAAATAAGTTGTTCGTGAGTAGGCAAATGTTGTCAGGTTAACGTTGAAGAGGCGATCGGACGGACATTATGGGCAGGTATTTTATCAGGCAAGCGGTATTCGAGCACGCGACGATGTTATCGTGATGATAGCGCAAAAAGGCTCAGAGGCGACGTCTACCCATCCTGTCACACCGATACAGAAGTTCGATTCGATACATTATATTTTTATCGAGGTTTACGACACGATAAAACATTCAACCAGGTTCATGCAAAAACGTGCTCTATGACAATAATATAAATGTAGCCAAAGACAATAAAAATAAAATGTTGGGTTATAGTAATGTTCCTCGCAGGTACGGAACATGATAGTGAGGTAATGTGCCGTTTATTCCTTGCTCCGATCGTTTGATCTGCGTGAGATACCTTGCAAACTGTTTGAATTCTTAAGCATTCACTATTAACTAAATAAGCCAACATGACATTCACTGCTTAAAAGTTATTACATTAGGTGTTCGTGGGAATACTTTCTTGGCACGCGATTACCATCCACTTTATTGTGAAAGTTCTTTCACTGCGAATATGAAATATGCGATGATACCTTTTATTTTGACGTACGAATGCATTGTCATCGTGCAAAACGCTTCATCTTTTAATAAGTAATATTGTAGTATTAGTAAAACAATCAAAGGTATGAATGGTTGAAGTTGCAATGTAGAAATCATGAGTGCACTAGTGTGTAGTGATAATGTGTATATCGGGAGGTCAGAGATCGGCCATTCGCGCTGGCGAGCCAATTAGACCCAACAGGGGTCACGATACTAAGAACCTGAATTTGACGGGGTTCGTTTTGCTACACCCACGTAATTTCGTCACTTTATTAGTCAATTAATATCTACGTACTAAGGTATAACGGTAAATGAATACAGACTGTAGGAATATGTATTTTAAGTATGTTTTAACAGGCCTGAGTTGGTACCTAAGACGAGATACTACTTAAAAGGCAATTATTGCCAAGATACATTTGATTGCTCATAGTCATCGAATCATCACCTATTGTTCATCGTAAAAGATAATTTTGCAATTAAAAACAATTAAATGCAGTTTAATACGTGGGTTTGCGCGTAATATTTAGCCCTTATGTACCTGCCCATTTTGTATTCAGGGAATTAAAGGAAAAACCTGAAGTATGTTAAGTGTTCAGTATGCGCAGTGCTGCAAACACAGAGAATTGTATCGATCAGCGTGGTAAACCCTTTGTATGTCCGCGTACGGCTCACAGCAAACGTTAATTTATTTTTCCATGCTATTTTCACTCAACGAGACGTGCATAATGTGGACTGAAACAGTTTACATTTAGGCGGTAATTAAATGTTTTTATATCATCGCGTGTTTTATTACGTGGTTTGGCGAAATGTCTACTTTGAAGGAACGCAGCTTTATACAACATTGGTCTTCCTAATGTATTCAATTAGTTAATTCTAATGTAACGTTGTTATGATTGGATAACTTTATGAATCACAATACACTGATCCACGACTTGTATTTAATATATTTGTTTTGTTCACAGGTGCTGGTGAATCAGGCAAAAGTACTATAGTCAAACAAATGAAGTAAGTTTACCATAATCGTATCCATTAGTTGTAAAGTAGTAAGAGTTCATACTATTCACAAAGTCCGCTAAAACATCGGTATTAACATTGGAAGGAATGCTTTTATGACAAACTATTTAACATTTCAAATTTGATTGAAATCCAACACAAGCACACAATCACGTCCTTAGTCGTTAATAAATAAATAGTCCATCTAAATTGCTTGGCACGGCTCCTTCATGAAGCATTCGCCAGTCAGTAAAGGAAATAGATTTTTTGCATCCTTTGAATAGATGGCAAAGTCGTGAACCGTATAACTTCTACATCCGCTGAATAGCACAGTTGGCTTTACATCAAGAAAATTCTGAGTTTTAAAAGCAAATCGGTCTATATTATGGACTAGCAAGCTTTGTCCTGTATTCAAACAAACTACATTGGCTTTGAAACTTGTGGGAAGATATAATTTTAATAGCCTCTTGGCTTAATACACCGATGAAACAGTTGCATCTAAGCCAAACAGCTTGGCAAAAATTCAAACTCAAAACATTGTTTTTTCTCTGTTAAATATGTTACTAAGTCATGGTACAGACAGTATTTATTTATCAGTGGTCAGTGAGCGTTGGTCAAAATTCGGCTACATCCATAACCATTTTAAAAATGGCGGCTGTTGGATTGTTTTTTCGAACATCAGTTGGCGTTCATTTAGCAAAAAGTCTGTTTGACCAATCACTGTAGCTGTCAAAATTCTAATGACCAATGGTGTGACACTAACAAATTCCCTATTCGACGATAAGACGAGAGGTTCTCACTAGCTCCATCTAGTGAGCAAAAAATGGTATTCCTTCCCTCATTCAAAACTGCATTCCGTGCACATCATTTTTTGTACCCCTTCTGCAAAATATGTTTGAAGCACGATGTTATCAATTATTCGTATCTATCTTAATCAATACTATTGTTTAGATATAACTAGCTGTATAACATATCGGCCGATTGTCTGCTATCTCTCTATCTACGACTTGTCAACAAGCGTTTTACATTTTGAAGATAAAAGATTACTTGATGTATGAAATGTAGGGAATACTATGTTTTCAATTTACCAATATGTTATTTAAATGAACGCTATATGCCATTTTAGAAGAAATAACTCTGAAATGACATTTGCTGAAACATTTCACAATTTGCATTAATAAATGATATGTTATATTATTTTTTGAATATACACGCTAAATGCCTGAGTTACACGTAGAATATGTTCCGTTGTTTAGCAGTTTTATGATACGTCGGTTCATGTTATTTAAATTAAGATATATTATTTGTCTTCACCTCACGACATGAGGTGTAGCGACGTACATGTGATGTATGAATAATATAAGTTTCATGACGTCATCAAACGACATCTGACGATGTATGTGTCTCACGGTGATCTTAGAAACCCTGCCAAAAAGTTGACGATGGTCAGTGAAAATTGGACAAGCCATATCTATGTTTAACCGGTTTCTGAATCAGATGCCATGAGTCATTTATTAGGCAGGTACTTAATGTAATCTCATTTACATTGGGACTTTCCCAATTTATTGTAAACGTTAAAAAGCCTATAAATTCATTTGACCATTTTGTCAAATTGTCTTTATCTAATCAAAGCAAATACTATTTGTATTGTCAACAAATCTCGATAAGGTGTCACTTGGACAACCGACTTATGATACGGTTACTACAAAAGTACGATCATCGATATTGCTCCATTTTAGTTACGTTAATGTTGGTATGATCAACGTTTTGTGTATGTTGCCATATTGGCATCATACTAAACTGGCAATGACGTCATCCGAGTCCCGGATGCTACAGATCTGTAAAACGCCAGACGTTGGAAATCCAATTATTTAATCGATATGAAAATAATATCTTTTCGATAAATTATTACTGTTCCATCGATGTTACAGAATGTAAGTCTAGATGAAGATAAACCTGTTTAGTCACTCTCTTAAATCTTTTAGTTACATTTGTATCTGAAAACATAAAGTTGGAATTTGATGGAAATACGAGTAAAATTCTGCGAATTGTGCAAGAAAGGCGCGCGGAGCTCGCTCGCCGAGATTGTTTTCGTTAGAAGAAGTGCATCATCCGCACGCACCGCTGCCATTGTTCGAATCCGTAAAATACTAAAATATTTACTTAACATCTTGTAAGAAACTGTCAGCAACCTATTTGCTTTCATAACTTGGAAAGCACAGTGGTATGCTCAATACAACATGCTTACGTAAGCTACGTTGATGTATTTTAATTTTAAATTGACTTATTAAAGCATGCTCTTTCTCCATATGAAACAACAAAAACGGACATCGAACAGAATTTAAAGTTAAGAACAATGCGAACAAAAGGACAGTTTCACGAAATCCATATTCAATGGCATATTTATCCCGTCCTCCGAATTGGCAATATTCTCGTTTGTCACCGAGTTGAGCCTGCCCTCACCTACATTATTTATTTATGTACATGCAATTTGAATGTCTGATCAACTAAATAATTTAAGCTGTCAGATCTGGACAATACGAATGCGTCATAAATATGAAATTCAGGAGAAGATTGGACTCTTGGAGTTGAATAAAACAGGAACAAGGTTTTAAGTGAAAAGTATGAGTCACTTTCTTATCTATAGAAAATAATGTAGTTCCATTTTTTAGCTCCAATAGCCTGTTGAAAAGATATTCCAGTCTTTGTGCTTGAAGTTATTGTTCGGAACTCGTCTTTAGACCTTGACGTACTTACAATGGCACTGTGGAACACTGATTATGCATTTAATGATATTATAATATTTAATTTTATTATAGTAGGCGTTATACTTGTAGTTAATGCATAATATATCTATTATTAGATAACTAAACGGTGATTAATCAAGAGGAAAACGTTGCAGATGTTATTGATTTTTAATGTAAATGGATTTTGAAGTTACATACTATAATATAATAATAGATTTCTCGGCTATAAAATTTTCTTCTAAATGTATCTATCTAAATGTACCTATATCATCCGTTGTTAAGTGAAATGTATTAAACAGCCATTTATAATTGCGTTAAGGGAACTGCATAAATTACAAGTTTACTGCTAATTTGTTGTACATTCCCGTAACATTAATGGCTACGTCATGAAATCACTTCGGTCGAGCTTGGAACTCTGCAATCTCGTTAAAATACCGCACTATTGGAACTATGAATCACAAGGCGATCGATGACTAATACACATTTACGCCTTTTATTAACTCGTTCTTTCAATTTGGCCAATTCATTTGTTCTGTGTCATAAATAAATTGTGATAATTGTCCTCTACATCTCTACATGTCATAATTTGTAGTACTCGTGTATTGTGTTTGTGATCTATTGATTAGGTCGATGTTAAGAGAGATAGCAGATGATCAGTTAATTTCCTTGCCATTGCTTTATTGATAACATTACTTTTTCTTCCTACAGAATTATCCACGAAAGTGGCTTCACAAATGAAGACTTCAAACAGTACCGGCCGGTGGTGTACAGCAACACGATTCAGTCGCTCGTCGCCATCTTGCGTGCTATGCCCAACCTGGGCATCACCTACGGCAATAAGGACCGAGAGGTAACTATACATTTTTATTAATACTTAACCCTAGTTCGCCACAGGTCGACGACTCACGCAAATAACAACAAGCAAACCCTTGACTTTGACATTATCTCATAGGTATTAGCGGTATTAGGTTATTTTATCGACCTGTCGTCGACCAGACAAGTTTTCCATGTCGTTCGATAAACATGCCAATTTATAAAATATTCCATAACAAAACCTTAGAAAGAAAACATTCAATATTAAATGTGAAGGAGTTCTCAGTATTTGCATTAAACGCTACGGAATTCTAATTTAGTCCGTGTTTTGATGAGACTTGAACTGTATATAAGTAAAAATCAGTGATGAGAACAGTTGAAATTGAATTATTTATTCAAAGATATCAATCGGATAGTAGTCATTAGTTTACTAAAATCGAAAATCAAAGCGAGTATTCGTTGCGTAGACGATAAACTGCGTCGATTACGTGTCGGCCGTATTCTATAAATAATGGACGATCGTCAGTAAAAATAATGTCGATTGCATCGAAATCTACATTGGGAATAAGTGCTCCGAGGCTTCCGTTTGCCTCTAATGCTGATTACAAAGCAATTTGTGGGAGTGCCTGAGATACTGGCGTGTAATGATACTTATTGCATCGTAACCATTCCACGTCATTGATTCATTTTGAGGCTGAGGAACAGCCGTAGATACATCAAACATCCGTTTTGTTTATCCTGTAATATGATATAAACCCAATCTAAAATATTTTACACCTTTATCATTTCAAGCTTTTCCTTGGCCCTCGACAATTCCACAGTAAAGTATTACCGGTATTTGCATAATTTTCTAGTGAAAGGTTACTATGAATAAATGAAAATTGCATCTGCATTTCCCCGAAGTTGTTCGATTTCATGAAATGTTCGCTCTATGAAGATCAATATTAGGTATTCGTTCATTATTCATGAGAGTGGCTCCGTGTACCAGCCGTCCGAGCCCGACTGCACTCTGCACAACAGCTTATTGAATTATTTGTTGTTTTGTTTGCAATCAATGTACAAAAGCAAATAATTCTTGTATAGCTTTCTGTTTCACTAAAATCATGTTTTTTGTATGAAGTATGACACTAACTGGTGGAGCCAAATTGCTATCTCAAATGCAACATAGACATACCTTAGAAGTTTACGGAAAACCAATCAATTTTCCACTTTAGATAAGGCTAAGTTAATTCGTGAACCTGGTTATTGTGTTAGCTTTAACGACACGTTGCTAACTGAATAATTTACAGTAAAACCAAATAAGGAGAACGTCGTATTTGCGATAGTCCGCGATTCTATTAGCAACTAGCGGACGACCAGTGAACATGTTATAAACTCTGTAGGGGATTTGTTGGACAATGTTATCATCGTGAGTACCTGTTCGGAATGTCACACAGATAAGGTATCTTAGTTCCGTTCCGACCTGTTGAGGAATGGTACATGTCAACGTCATCGGTTACACAACGAACGAGAGCTCCTTCTGAAAACTGTAATTAATTCACTCGTCACGAGATGTGACGCACGTACCATTTGACATAGGTAGTTAGGTACGTCGTAAACGGATCTTAAACGTCCATGAGACAGAGTCATAAAAAATATCCGTTACTGGTCCTTCTCACGCAATAAATAATATTGCCGGCTAGATTAAAGAATGACTGTATTTTCCAGTTAGGAAATGTACCGACTTCGATCTCCTTTAATGTATTCCTCTAATGAGAAGTGCGTTTAGCCATACCGCCCCCTATAAGTTTAGCATAATGTTCGCACCGTGTGGTGCGTTGCTACTTCGCTAGTGTGCACAAGGCACCGTATGTAACCTCGTGCATCTATCTCTTTATCTCAACGAGGGACATGAAAACAGTGGACGTGACAGCCCTATCCGGCATAAACATGTTGAAACAAAACCTAAGTACCACGCACTGTGAATCACATGAGGGTTGCTTCGCATTGTTCATGTTCAGGCCTAAGTTGTACGGTTGGTTTCCTACTGAATGCATTCATACTCTTTTGTTTAAGTTACAAGGTAGTGGGTAAAATGATTTATTGCACGTGGTTTATTGACGAGCATAGGCTAGGGCACAATGTCAATGAAGTGTTATTTTCCATCATAAACTGCCACCTCATTCACAGAACATGTTTCAGTGTCAATCTTAATATTGACTGTACCAGCAATATAATCGTCCACTATTTAAACGCCCTTGTGCTTTATAAAAGCAAAGCTTGAATGCCAGCCTAGGTAACGACCTAATGGACGTTCGTGTATTTAAATGAATATGCAATGTGTAAGTAACAAGGGTGGCGATAGCGGGTTATTCCGAAGAGGGGTTGTGAATGGCGCGAGCTTCCCGTCACCCTTGCGGGCAGCGCGCATGCGCCTCGCAGCCCGCAACACCCGTCATAATTAGAGCATATTTCACAGAAACCTCTGCAACCAGTAAAAGCAAAAGCTTAATGTACGAGTTATTTATTTCATAGCATGGCATTTTATGCCGCAGTGCCGCTAGAATAAACTTTTATAATACCCAGAACAAGCCGGACTTGTCTCTGGTACATAAAATATGAGTATTTATGATGCATTGCAGTCTGGCCGTCAACAAACTTCGTCAAACTTTCAGACGAAGACTAAACACAAGAGGATATTGTACATTCTCATTGTCATTAGTAAGAATTCTTTCTTACATGGATTGCGTAACGAAAGCGTACGGTTCTCGAGACGAGTTTGCTAAATGGATTACTAATCGGATTAGCGTATGTCGAAGATGCTGGGTCACTCAACTCCAATTGAGACGATATTGCTGTTCAACACGAATTATTATGAGTCATCTTTCTTTATAGCTGCGTTTATTACTTTTGAAGTTAAGCAATCGTCGTTGCATGATAGAAATTTTAAACTGGTCATGAAATCTATTATGTATTTCTAGTTACCAAACTAACAGTAATTAGTTCATATTAAGTTCGCCACAACCCCTTCTATGAGAAACTGCCTATTGACTATTTGTTTATTCGATTTCCTACTTTATGAAAACACTTTGTTCACAGTTTAGTACGACAAATCACTAATGAGTTATGCTTAACCAATTAAGTCGTTAATACATAATCACTGTTAATGTTTTTGTGAACATTTTTTACATATTTAGAACTTATCGAATTTATTTCAATCACGCTAATGACTAAAATGATTATGATAATGATTGCTTCATATTTATTTATTTATGTTTGTCACGTGGTTGTGTTTCATCACTGATAGGATAATACAAATGAATATTGTATGCAAACGAATAATAAATGTATAGTTTTCATAATAATTATGTAAATTAGGGAAATTCAGACGTTTCAACTGATTGTTTCCTGTTATAATGGTAGTTATTCGTAATGTTTTAATGTCGTTTATTTTATTACTAATACCAGACGATAGAAATGTACAACAGAAGTCTTAATTAACGTATTAATCTAATAGGTAATGACTCCTTTAAAATACATACAAATTAAACAAGAAAAATTATGCCTCCAATTTTATATGAACTTATAATACAATAATAGTCACTTTAACTTCAAAAGCGCAAATACATGCATAGTAAATTAATTTGGCAAAATGTTTAGAGTAATGCCTAAGTATGTAGATTAAAGAAATAATTAGCTTTTTGTTGTCAAGGGTGTTGTTTTCTTTCGATATGGCGAAATTCCGAAACTGTTATGAAACTGCAATGGTAATGGTGTCCTTTTGCTTGTTACTGTTACCATTCACTGCACTCGATAATACGATAATAATAGCGAAAGTTCTGCTTGTTCTTTCACAATTTTTGAGAATACAAGGTCTTACAACCCATTCGCCCTTCGAAGATTACCCAAACGTAGGTTGTAAAAAAACTAAAACCTGACTGAGAAATGTGTGATGTGGTATGCCATTTTATCTTAAACTGTAATAATATTAAATTATGGTTAGATTGGAATCGTCAGCTGAAAGGCATCGACTGCCGATTATAACCCATCTTCCTTATGATTTTACCGTGATGCCCACGCAGGTTCGTGATTTGGGGATCGTAGTTAGGTCACCGAAAGTTTAAGACGATACTAATATCGTCTGCTACAATGAAATGATTGATATAAAATTATTGTTACAGAGCGATGGCAAGATGGTGTTTGACGTGATCCAACGGATGGAAGACACGGAGCCGTTCAGCGAGGAATTGCTGGCGGCGATGAAGAGGCTCTGGGCGGACGCAGGCGTGCAGGAGTGCTTCGGTCGCTCCAACGAGTACCAGCTCAACGACTCCGCCAAATAGTAAGTACACAAACACTTATGACACGTTCAAGTGCAAAGAAATTCTACTCAAACATTACATGAACCGTTACGTTATGGTCATTTCGTAATCCCCATAATATTGAATGAGTAAAGGTTGACTTTCTTTCGACCGAAATGTATGTAGGTTTTGTTTTAGAACCAAACATTGAACTTACCAGTTGCAACAGCTATTACGAGTGTTTAAATAATGAAATGCAAATAAAGGTGCCAACATAAAGGGTTTATTTGAAAAAGTCTGCCGTGCACATTTTAAACTTAGTTTAATCCTAAACTAACATACTGACATACATTTGCAAGTTAAATATAAACTTGCTCATAGAAAACATTGCCTAAATTAAATCGTCTTTGGTTATACGCCTTACTTGTTTAACATGTAAAATTATAGGCTAGTGTTGTTACCGTTTCTCTTATGGAGTGTGAACTGCAACGGTTCGTTCGGCACGTACGTCGGCGTTACACTATAAGTTAACTCGCCGTACCGCCACGATACATTGTATTTCTGGAATATCTGAAAAAAAATCACAAATCAGTGATCATTGCTAGAAAATTTTTACATAACGTGACATAGGTACTACCGTATAGATTTCAAAGGAGAATGGCAGGTTTGTATGGAAGTTTTGTACCGCTATAAAATTTTGTATTAGTCATTGTTTTAACCAAGTGAATAGTCTGAACGATAGATATTTTTATTATGAAGTTTAGAAAAAAATTACATATTTTTAGAACTTGGGGTTCAAAAGTTATTTCACTTTGAAAATGTGCAAAAGGTATGTTAAGGTGGTACCACACTTGACATTGCGTAGTCGCTTCATTTGTCCAAATATTTGTAGACTACGTACAAATGGCGTCCAAATAGTATCTCTATATGTAATGGCGTGCAAATATATAGCAAACAAAGAAGAATAAATCCTCCAAACCTGTTCTTTTTTGGCCGAACACAACAAATACGCAACGTCAAGTGTAGAGCCACCGTAAGCAAAATATCTATTACAAATGACAGATGACAGTTAACTGAAAAATGTCAATGTGCTCTCATGTGGTTGTTTATTTACAAAAAACAAAAATCTAAAAATACTGCTCGCTACTCAAGTGACTATTACACTTTGTATTATTAGAAAAAGAAAGAAAAACCATTTATTTTGCTACGACACACAACAAGAATTTAGAAACCCAAAAAATAACCTATGGTGCGTCGCAGCGCAAAAGGCAATTAGGAATGATCCTGTTAATTCAGCAAGCATGATGCACCTATAGAGTTTTAAAGAGTATGCCTCACAATCTTTTTCATTTCTTAGGTGCCTACGAAAATGCAAATTCATAATGTAAGCGACTGTCATTGGGTAGAAGGCCTACATTTAGCAGTGGAAGTCTTGTGGCGGATATGATAAAACTAATGTCTCACTTCACCTTGAATCTTGCAGGTAGATAGTCTCAAGGGTCTCAAGTTAATTCGATTTAAACTTAGCTTAGCTCTTTGAGAAAGTATTTCTTCTGAAAACTGGTTGCTTAGCACGCATGTAAGGATTAATTTCTAATAAGTAAGTCAAATTAGTAGAATCATCAACATTTTCATCATTAAGTCTATAAGTGGCCACTGCTGACCGAAGCCTCTTCTCGCATGGAGGTTTGAGCATTAATCACCATACTAGCTCAATGTGGGTTGGTAATTCAAACTTATAATAAGAAATTATAAGCCCATGTTTCCTCACAATGTTTTCCTTCACCATTCGTCAGCGGTGTCTTTGTACTTTCTTAGATTATTGAATATACCAATAACTCGGAAAAAGACACATTGGACAAAAGGTACTTTGCCGTTGGTAGGTTTCGAACCCGCACTCTCATGCATGAGAAGCGGGCTTCTTAAACCTCTGGGCCACCACATTACAACTAAAGAAAATGTAAAATGAAAATGAACATTTTTGGTATAAAACTAAAGCTATCTAAATTAAATATGGCATTTATTTTATAGATTGATTCTTAAAATCACTTTTATCAAGATGGAATATATAGTTACTTACTAGGTTAAAATAAAACAAATGTATTATTTTGAAATACTTTTATTTCATTGTATTCAGGTTGTTTCTAAAAAGAGAACAGGCCGTGTCATAGGTACAGCAGACATCAATTGCTGATATCTGTAAACAAGTAAGATAACTGTAAATAAAGTAAACAAAAGTACATTTTTTTCTTTTAGTTTTATATGTTATAATAATAGTCTGATTCCCTATCTTAAAATGGAAAAGATAAAAATAAATATTTGATTACATTACTTGATTTTATAACATTTATTATAGTTATTCGTATAACACAGATCATAGGAGCTCAAACAGCATGCTAATTAATAAATTATAATTATAACATGAGTATAAACCTATTAGAAACCGCTTATATACTCCACATAGATACATAATTATGTAGGTACATTATATTGAGAATGCATACCTGTTGAAGCTTTGAGAGCCGAACAACATCATCCGGCCTCATCTGTTTTACAAATGGCAATGTTAAAGTGAGGCTTAGTCCATGTTTACATAAATACATTACTTCCTGATAGTGAACACTGTGAGGTGGTATGTCAGGTTGTGGTTTTATAGTTTCGACTCTTGTACGGTCTCTCAGTCAGTATGGAACATGATCTTCATCATGGGAAGTAAGCTAAAATAAGTAATATTATTAGAATATGATATTGACTTTAGATTACACTGTATATAGATAATAGTATGGTTAAATTATGCTTTATTACCTCTTGTGGCTGAATCCAATCAAATACTATATGAGCCAGTCTTTACTCCTGTTTGTTGGCGCCTTCAATTAAAACCCTGCGTCACCTTATCATTGCAATGAATCACCCATATACGACACAAACATGCCAGTGACCAATTTGTTTGCTGGACATACTTTCAGCAACATCCCGATACATTGCTAATTGCCAGCAAGCATTGCAAATATGGTCGGTAGGAGAGATCTAGAATAAAAAGAATAAAATGATACATTATGGGTAGATAACACTATGCGCCTTCTTTTATTCAGGCAACATGGTGACTTTCGATATGTTATGGGTAAACTAGGTACTTACATCTCTAGGATAAGTCCACATTGGGATATTGTTGACCACGTCTAATCTTCACTCTCATTTTCTAGAGCATGCCGTCTCATGTGCGACAAACTCTGAATGCAATTAATACACTGTAAATTCATCATCGCGACAAATAACAACACACTATGCACAAAATAATGTAAATAAGTGTCTTTTCGCAATTGTCACAACAATGATGCCAATAACAATTTGGGCTACGGAGGAACGGTTGCCAAACTCAACGTATCACCAGATGAATAAAATAACTTCAAATTCAACAAACACATCATAACATCGCATTTGAAACAAACAGCAATGCGCCAGTATTGACAAATTAATTGTCAATGTCATCAAGACAAATGCCAGTTCAACATTGCCATATTCAAGTTTGTTAAAATGTTAATTATCATTAATAATCCATGTAGACGTAGATTTAGATTGGATGTAGATTTTTATATTTACTTATAAAAATGTTTGAAATGGAAAGGAAAATATTTCATTGATATATATTAAAATAAATGAGTTTATGAAATAGCGAAATTCAATATGCTCTGATTTCATCTTTACGCATGGCAACTTTGTAAACGTCAATCGCGGTTCGTTTTACGTATAGTGGATTGCTTTTTATCATTATTGAATATCAGATTTTCTAGGGTTTCCCAAGTTTTAAAAATCTATTAAATATGCTAACATAACGTACTTAGGAGATTCTATAATGACCCAATTTTTTAATGACAAATCGTTTTTTAGCGAAGCGGTACAAAATCTGCCGTTCTCCTTTAACACCCACCTTAGCAAGTAGAAGTTGCAACTCGGCTTCGGCAAATCTCTTTCCAATACACATACGTCGTCCAAAGCCGAAAGGAAGTGAGGCGAATGGGTGGATCCCTACTTCCTTTTGCTTGCGACACACCTCCATCGCTCTTGTATACGGGCATCCTGGCTTATCAGCATTAGTTATCGATCCTGAAGGAGCCTGGTCAGGCGCCCGAACTTCATTGTCACGTAGCCATCTTTCGGGAACGTATTCCTTCGGCGACGGGAAGTACCGTTCCTCGTTTGATAGGATGTAATGCGGGAAAACGACGTGCGACTGAAAAGGAAATAATATTATGTTATCCTTTTCCTCTTACACGCACAAATAAAGCTTCTAATTTAATACCAGTTTCTTGAGACATTTATTGCTTAATGATGGCTGTTTCAATATTTTGGTGAGATTTTGTCTACTTTAATATCTTACCCCTTTAGGAACGGAATATCCAGATATCACGGCATCTGATTGGATACACCTTCCGTTGCCCAAAATAACTGGTTTGATTCTGTAACAAACACAAATCAACGTCTCGATTTCATTTATCTCTATCTTAAGCCGTATTATAAGGAAAACTCTATTAAGTAAGATACATATTGAACTGAAATAAAATGTAAAATGATATCACTTCCTAAAAATAGAGAATGTTACTCTTTTCCTGTTCACAGTACAAGGGTTAATATCCTCCTGCGAAATAGTTACATCCTGTATTTGCATGTTGTGTTTTATTAACAACTTTTTAATAATTAGTGTTGCAACTATTTTTTTAAATTATTATGAGGGTTATTCAAGCCTATTATGTTATCTAGTTTTTTTTTTCAATAATTGACATCTAGACGTCAATTTGAATTCTTTGAACTTATCGGGGCATGAGGACTAGTATAGCAAGTCATATTTACATAATATAGTTTGTACACAAGTATTGTTACACTTGAGTTGTGGAGTCGGCTCCTAATAGTAACTCAGGTGCAAATGTAACCTGACGCTGACCATCATTGGTCATGTTACATTAAGACGATACATTTGTATCGAGTTTTTATCCTGCAGAACGTATGTTGGAGGTTAGTGGACTCGTGACACGAGGAACATCTATTACTGTTAATAACATTGGTAAAAGATCACGACTGTAGCCGAAATTTGTTTGGAGAAGTGTTTCTGTCTATTCAATTCTAATGAACCGGTCATAAACCTAAGCTAAACATTTCAAAACTAAAAACGGACTAATGTTAGCGCAGTCTTTCACAACCGTATTTAAAAAATACGTAATTTCACTAATATTTGATGAGACATAAGACGTATGTGGGATGAGTTAATCAGGAAGCTTTATTCTCGTAAAATATTTCAAAGAAAATCTCATGTTTTGTGCTTCTATGTAGGTCGAAGAAACCGCAAACTCCGTCCGGTGACTAACAGACCAACAAAGGGCAATTATCACCTTTCAACGCCAACTAGTCATTTTATGGAGGTACAAAGCTACCATACGATTTTTGAGGGACCTAGAATCGGGAAATAGTATCAAGATTTCACACTTTCAGTTCTACATCAGCCGTATAATAGAGTATTATGCAAACTGCTAACTTGCAATTGTTCTAGAGTGTATTGATAGATAGAAGACTCATGTTCTAACCTATCAGAAATTTTCTATAGTAAATGGAATTGTGTTTTTGTTTATGGCAATAGAATGGCCTTTTGTGCCTTATGAATGGCGTAATTTATTGTATAATGTTTTATTGATGAATAGTGTTTACTATTGTTTTTATAAAAACAATCACTCACCTCAATGATTCCTTTATACAAGCTTTGAGGTAAGGCATCCTGTCTAAGTCCTTACTAGTCATTCCTCTGTCTCTCGGCAGGTTCTTGTCCATTTCTATTTGTAGTTTTTTCTGTGCTCTTTCATTATTGGCCAGTAAATACAAAGTACTCGCTGCAGCAGCTGCTGTGGTATCCACACCAACCAGTAGCAGGTCCAAAGCCAATATAGTGGCAACTTTTTCTCCAGAAGCCTTCGCAATTTGAGAACAAATACCCTTATCAGTCAACCTTTTCAAACACAGCGCTCTAAACGCATCCAAAGCTTCAATATATGTTTTGTAAGCCGCCGTTGAATATATTCGCCACAAGGGTGCAGACAGTTCCAGTACAGGAACACTATGGAAGAACCCATGAATACACCTGATTATCTCCTTTGCTTCAGCATCGTTATCCTTTAAACATCCGAGTCTTGTCCCCAAGGCCCAAGCGCCCACAGCTAGAACAAAAATGAGTGTTTTCTTAAGGCGTTAAATTACCACTTGGTGCAAGTTTATGCGGAAAAGCACAATAGGGTTCACAGAAGGTGGCGCCGCTCGTCAAGTAGCACTTACACTCAAGGGCCCATTTGTAGAGTTCCGTGAGAAAATCTTTCGGCAGCTCACGATTATCGTCGAGAATGCATTCCATTCTGTAACAAAAATATTTTAAAATGGGCTTACAGTTTTAATATTTTAACGATCGCGTGTTGAACTTCTTAAATAAACTATGCTCTAAATAGCAGGTAGCTTTTAATCAGGACCTAATTTGTATAGAGCCGTTTTATATTATGTTAACTTGATCTAAACATTAAATATTCCACGTCAAGTCACTAAAACGAAATGCTAGGTACGTTTGTGATTGAATGAGGTTTGTTGTTCACAGTGACTCAGTAAGTATAGTTGTCGCTCAAAACAAATGCGCAGACGCCGCGCGTCGTTGTTAAAAACGGGATGTGGTCATTAAACTGAGATTCCACACTCGGATCAGTAGAGGCAAAACGAAGTACTAGACCACAAAATTGCTACATGCGTTAACAACTTACCGGAACGTCTTGTACAGGTCTTTTAAGCATATTTTTCATTAGATAAAAGTTTTTACTTATCAGTGCTTTGACATTTAACCTATTATTAATAACTCAGTTTACTAATTTGCACTACGAGAAATCCTAACGGTAAATTGGATCAAAACTTTGAACTTGGAAAATTTAAAACAGGAAAATTAAAAAGAAACTGCTTCACGAGATTTATATTTTTATAAGTTGTAATTCCACCAGTTACACAAACAAATAAAAATAACACAAATACTTAAAATAAATAGTGTTCTGAAACTATTCTTTAAACACCTACATTGATGGTGCACGTCATAATGTGTACTATAGTTCCATTACGATGACAGAGATTTATCACTATCATGTTTTCTTTCCAAAATAACGCTACGAAAATAGCTCGGTAAATTAAACAGATCGCGGTTATTTTTTAAGATAAAGAACAAAAGGCATGATTCTAACTAAACGTACCTGTGCACAAAATCGTCGGTCACATGTTCTAAATCGGGCACTGCAGCCCTTGCTGCCTCCGGTGCTATCAATGCTTTAGATACTTTCGATCTAAATCTAGACCACGGCTCCCCATGTCTGCGAGAACAAATGCACAACTTAGTACGCGTTGTAACGCGGCACACAAGATTACCAACTATAAGTTCATTAAAAACATATTATTCCTTACACTCCAATTAGACCGGGCTCATCCCCAAAAAAGTCTCTCCTTAAATTCTGTTTATAGTGACTGAGACACGGTGCCTTAGCTCGATGTGGCATTAAATCTTCCCGCCTGTAAATCCTTGCAGTTTCCTCAGCACAGAATGGAAACACCAAGTCAGGGTGTCCAAATAATTTGGACACTTTAGCAGCTCCCCCATCACCTGCCAAAGCTCTCAGGAACCACAGTGAAACATCCAAAGCACGGGTTCTCCAAGGGTTCTTCCCTATAGCGAATCTCCAACTGTTACCGAGAATAGGCAGGGGCTTAGGGCCCGGCATCACCGCGTAGCACCGAGCGTTACTCATCGCGGACGATTTGTCAATGGCTTTAGGTTCAGCCCCTAAGTCCAAGACTACAGAAGAAGCAGTGGGGGCTACCATGTTACGTTTTCAGCGACGTTGATGTCGTAATATACGCCACCCGGCTCAGTTGACGCAGTGCACACGCATGCGTACAAATAAATACAACCTCAATTGATGTTGCCAGACCTCTCACTCACATCTGGAGGGGGTTGACATTTCCTTGAAAATATTTTTTGGCGCAACTTAATCGAGTTTTACTACTGAAGGTCCTTGATCATTGACGAGGACAGGCCCTGCATTGCTAGTTGTAAACCTTGCATTTCTTTCGCCATCACGAATGCTTTCTTAATTCCATTTTACGACACCAATGGTGATCTTAATTGTTGACAAAACCGTTTGAAACTATGCGTATTTGTAGCGCCCTATTGTCACAAGTGTGATGCCACTACTTAGAGTGTACTTGTTAATATTAGAAACTGACTAAAGGAAAATGCAAGTCATTGCTAGGGTTTTCAATTTCACTCTGCAGAATTATTTCGTAAATTGTGTATCTAATGTTTAGAACCATAAGCCTATAGGAAACAATATAAAATTTAAACGGCAACGCAAATTGTTCTGTTAATAAAGAGGTTGGCATAATATTGCTAGTCGTGCATGGTACTTCGCATGATGTTAAGGTAACGAGCATACAGGGATAAAATTAGACCGCGCCGATCAAAACGTTCAAATTAATTTTACTCACGTATTTAATTTGCAAAATGGGGCCACGATTAATTAAAAAGTCTGGTGTGATAACAACGTTGTTGTTACGATTATTAACGTCGGATGTTTGCATGTAGGTACACATTAGTACATTCTGATAATTTGATGTTCAGTGTTCATCTGTATTACGTGTGACGTCATCGCCATCAATTCAATTTGTCAATCCCTCGATGGAAGCAGGGAGCGGTGCTCGCGCGCCGATTGACTCGTCCGGTCTCTGCTCAATGCGTACATTTGTGTATCTTCCGCAATCCCACCCATTCATTGCATTTAAACTAAATTGTTCTAACTTTATCATTATGAAAGCATTCACACTACTATTACTTCATAATATCCATCTTTATTCTTACTTATCATGATGTTTCTTCACCTGCTATTATCATGTATTGCAAGATTTGTCACATATTTTAGACACTCCCCACATTTTCCATTCATGCGTCGTCAGCATTTTCAGCGTTAGCAATATGCGGCACAATTGCAAGCGTGGCCTTACTTAAAAAGTAAATATTATATTTAGTCGGGGACAGTTTGATTATTAAATCAAAATAACTGATAAATGAGTTGCAAGACGATTATCCTTGTATTTTTATCTAAAGCAAGTATGAAATGACACGACGCAGTGCAAATGTTATCCAGTAGTCTTCAACAACACAAGAATTTGTTCCGCTCAGTTGATTCCAACTTACGCACAATGATAAATGGCAGTTATTTATTCATTAACTAAATCATCATGATAAACACGTTCCCATAAACAGGTACGGTTTATATACTAGTATTTAATCAAGTTTATAATCCTTGACGACTTTAACCGTTACGATTAGTGCTTCAACATAGCTGTATAAACCTCCGTAACCACGGTAATTAAAAATAATACATCGCATATCTACACGTTCATAACTTATATCAATACTCATATAATGCCAGCTTCAAGCCTAAAATACATGTACTAGAACTAGACATTGTAAACAATACTGGTCATTTCGATATTATTTAGTAGGTAGTAACAGGAGTTTACGATAAAACATTTAAACTCGGCGGTAGGAGAAAACCAGCAAATAAAATTTTCATACAAACTCAACGTTGTTCTCACGAAAATGAGTATTTTTGTAATATTTGCATACCTATAAAATAAAATAATGCACAGAGTTTTAAATTACAAAACTTCTAAGCCCCTAAAATTTTACCGCGAGAGCAGAGACAAACAAAATAAAAGACTACAGATTACCCTTATTTGATGAAGATGCGAAAGTACACCCGAAACGCACGTTGGGAATGAAATATGCAAATTTTAATTAAAAAATGTCCAAATAGCGGTAGAGGCTATGAATTCCTGATACATTAAGCGCTTTACAGTCGAGCAGCGTGGAACTGGTGTACCATTTAGTGGCCCGTCAGTAACACGATAAGGATAGTTGTTTTGTAGTATGTGGCGAGAATCGCGGTCGGCGGATGCTCTTGCAACAGTAACAAGGAACCCTTTGTGTGCGGTTCAACGCTCGTATCTGTGTGTCTCATCAATCATGAGGAAAATCACATGCGGAATGTACGAGCACATTCAATGTATTTAAATGTCAGGACGTTTTACTTTGTATGTACGACTGTTTCTAATTAAATTACGTGTTTTGCTGGCTTTATTTTCTATCCATAGGATGCCTTAAATGTTTGGTTGTTGTTCACGTATAGGGTAAACACTGGTCTTCTTAAATTGGTTGGCAGATAATGTTGACGTCGTGGTCGTTGTCTTTTCGCTAAAGAGATGGAAGCAAATAGTGAACAAAAATTCCCCATTTTTAATTTTGAATCTTAACACCTGTATCGATCGATAACCATATTAAAGACTGTCACTTCACCATTTTGTTAGACTGACAAAGCAGCGATGCTGAAATAAACAATGATTGTCATAATGTTGTGATTTTGTCTATAAATGGTAAGTTATATGCCGCTGTCGCCAGCTCATCAGTGGTAATGTTTCTTAACCGGTAAGCACTGGGTCCGTTGCTCAATTGGCGAAAAATCATGTCTCGTTTGTTACGCTGCGCCGATACACCTTGCGGAACTAAATGCTTACTGACTATTTACTCAATGCTTAATAAATTCTATGATTTATGGTAGATTTATAAGATACTGTCAAAGAATCAGGTTCAGGAACATACATGCTTTTTTATTCGATTTTTATAAAAATCTTGTCTCTGTTCTACTATTATACTGTCTCTATCGATCGCTTGACTGCCAGCAGACCGATAGGTATGTGACCTAAGTTAGAATAAGTGTTCATCTAATAAATAAATTCATAGGTCTGACGTTAACATGGTATCTAGGCCGAGTTTAGCCTCAAACAATGTCGTCAGTATAAATAGCTCTATCACTGAGAATAAGTAATAACTTGGTGAGGGCAACTTGGCATGTTCCATATTTCATATTATGTATTCATTTCAAAGCTACTTACACAAAAACACAATTTAAAATTATAGGAATGAGAATGTTACTATCAAATCTTTTAAGTATTTTGTATAAAACGGTGAATTTGTCAATTATATCCGAAGCAATCATACCTGGTAACTGCTTTATGTTACACTAAATGAATGCTTGGCAGGGCATTGCGTCAGCGTTTTCCTTCATACTTTATATTTTACACCTGCTAATGGCCCTTCTCGTTTAGAATGCTCGATTCCCCAAACGAGATAGTCTGGCGTTGTATCAAATTACTCTTGTGGTATGGAAATAAAAACGGAATGTTTCTGTAGCTCATAATATGATATCTCGTCAAACATGTGTTTAAAGATTGTCAGTGTCTGTAAAGCAATTGAGATAGTATCGGTGAATTCGCGATTGCAACCGCGTCGGCACCGCCCACGTCGTCTGCGCCTCATGGCGCGTGGCGCGCGGAACGCCACCGGCGACAGATTTATGTGCCGATCGCATGACGCCCGCGCTAATTCCGGAAGCACTTCACAGCGCCACCGGCTGCTTAAGCCCTGAACTGCCTACGCCCTCCATCTAACTCGGTAGCACCTCATGAACTCATATCGCCGCCGCTTTCGGGGGTAATGTGTTACCGTTGACTTTTATTGCTATAGTCACACCATTGCGTAAACTTTCAACCAAATCCGTTCACCCCCAACTAAACAAAAAGTGTTACACAGGGTTATACTATTCATACATGCTTCATTTTCAACAGTCTTTTTATAGAATCTGTTCCCACGTTAGAGCTGACAAGTGTTTCATGTTATGGATGTTATAAACAAACTGGTCGATTGGGTTTATCCAAACTGGGAACGTATTTTATAAGTTTTTAGCCCAACTTTAACTCAATACAGCCACTAGTAGCTAAAAATTGGTTTGTGTTAGAAGCAGAAAGAGCTTTTTGTGGGATAACCTAAGTGGTTTGAGAAAGGAGAATGGCAGGTTTGTATGGAAGTTTTGTACCGCTATAAAATTTTGTATTAGTCATTGTTTTAACCAAGTGAATAGTCTGAACGATAGATATTTTTATTCTGAAGTTTAGAAAAAAAATACATATTTTTAGAACTTGGGGTTCAAAAGTTATTTCACTTTGAAAATGTGCAAAAGGTATGTTAAGGTGGTACCACACTTGACATTGCGTAGTCGCTTCATTTCTCCAAATATTTGTAGACTACGTACAAATGGCGTCCAAATAGTATCTCTATATGTAATGGCGTGCAAATATATAGCAAACAAAGAAGAATAAATCCTCCAAACATGTTCTTTTTTGGCCGAACACAACAAATACGCAACGTCAAGTGTAGAGCCACCGTAAGCAAAATATCTATTACAAATGACAGATGACAGTTAACTGAAAAATGTCAATGTGCTCTCATGTGGTTGTTTATTTACAAAAAAACAAAAATCTAAAAATACTGCTCGCTACTCAAGTGACTATTACACTTTGTATTATTAGAAAGAAAGAAAGAAAGAAAAACCATTTATTTTGCTACGACACACAACAAGAATTTAGAAACCCAAAAAATAACCTATGGTGCGTCGCAGCGCAAAAGGCAATTAGGAATGATCCTGTTAATTCAGCAAGCATGATGCACCTATAGAGTTTTAAAGAGTATGCCTCACAATCTTTTTCATTTCTTAGGTGCCTACGAAAATGCAAATTCATAATGTAAGCGACTGTCATTGGGTAGAAGGCCTACATTTAGCAGTGGAAGTCTTGTGGCGGATATGATAAAACTAATGTCTCACTTCACCTTGAATCTTGCAGGTAGATAGTCTCAAGGGTCTCAAGTTAATTCGATTTAAACTTAGCTCTTTGAGAAAGTATTTCTTCTGAAAACTGGTTGCTTAGC